AACCCACATCTGATTTGTTGTTCTTGATCTAAGCGTAAGTTCATAACCAATCACGCTTGAAATTCATACCACCGACGCCACCAAACTTGCCAATGGAAGCAAAATCAGCAGAGTTCATCTTCTTCTTATGTGCCTTGTACTAAAGGATACCATATACCCAATTTACAGACCAACATTGTACTGTTCACAGACCAACGAGTTTCTAATGACAGGGCCAGTGCACCTTCTTGAACTCCATGGGCTTTGTTTTGAAATTCACACTGGTATCCCTCAATGATTTGGCATAATGAACCTTATCCCTTTCCTGGAAATGTTCTGTATGTGTTTGATTATTTGTCTTGACTATGTGGACGATGACCATTAATGGGTGCAAAAGGTGCTTGAAATAATGCAAGCAAATGTGGGTATTCATCACTTTCTACATCCAAGTTTGCCATAATGTCCTTCCCAAGTCTCAATGGTTCAGAAAATTGGAGCGCAAGCTTTTCAAGGGAAGGCTTGTTAGATAGAATATCTCTCAAACTCAAACTACAAACAAAGGCAGTTGATTTTTGAGCATCTGTACCGTAGCAAAAAAAAAAAAAAAAAAAAAAAAAAGATCATTGTTCTTTATCTTCCTCCCCTGTTACCCTGTACCATCTCTCCCTCCTCCTCTCTCTAAAACGCATCAACACTGCTTGAAATAATGGGGATAACCTAAATCTATCTCTCTTCTCTCTGTGCATATATATATATGTGTGTGTATATATATATATTCTCCACAGCCAACTGATTCTTGCCCGTCGTCCATCTCCACCAACCTCGCCAGTCAGAGCTCCCCCATCCGAGCTCTCTACCATTGTCTCCACCGGCCGATTTCTCCACAGCCGAGTCGAGCACGAATAGAGATCAAAATTCGCAAAACCCAATGCACAAATTACTAGAATTACCAGGATTTGAATCAATAGTTTCACTCAAAAGCCATAACCCATTATCATATAACTTGAGAAGCAGACTAAGAGATCAAAAGGGCCAAATGGGTTGGGGAGGATTGACGATAAGGGTTTGAATTTTAGGGGATCTTGGGATTCGTTCTCGGATGATGATGATGTGATGAAGATTTGGATGTCAGAGGCATTACAGAGTTCTTGGAGGAATTGGCGGCAGTGGACGCATGGGGCAGCGGATATGGCTATGTAAAGGAGGCGGGACTCGCCGTGGTTAAGAGGTGGTGGCGGCAGCTGTGGTTCAGATGTGGTGGCGGTATAAGGAGGGAGATGATGGCTGCGACGACGGTGGGCGTCAGAGAAGAGGGATAGGGAATGAAGGTTTCTGTGGATACTAGCCCGTTCTTTTTTTTCTTTCTTCTTTTTTTCTTTTTCTAAAGAGAAGGTTGGCATATTTTGATTGGTTTATAGCATAACTCTCAAAACGACGTAGTTTTAAATAAGGGTAAATTTGTCTTTTAATGCTTCCTACCAAGTCCCCTACCGGAATGCAATAAATCAATAGTTTAAGGGGTTTCTTGCTATAAAATCATAGTTCAGGGAGGTTTTTTGTAGTTCAAGGGGGTTAGTTGCAAAACCCCAATAGTTGAAGGGGGTTTTTTGCACTTTTCCCTATATATATATATATATAAGTGACGGTGTAGAGCACCACCAGTGAGTATATATAAGCAGGTGAGTATATATATAATTATCGTAATTATAATTATAATTATAGTAATTATATATATAATTATAGTAATTATAGTAATATAATTATTATATATATATATATATATATATATATATATATATTCACCGAGGATCGAGAAACTCAAATTATATAGTAATAACTTTGATCGACACTGGAGCAGATCGGAACAATAGGGACCACGAAACAGCAAAAATAGAGCGATTGGATTTAATGATTCGATTGTTAAACACCTCTTCACATCACAACAATTCATGGCAACATCGAATCGGTTCGATTTCTAGTTTCAAGCGAGGCTGGATTGAATCCTTCGCGATGGACTGATTAATTTTATGAGAGCGCCTAAGTTATCAATGTATAGATGGTTATAAGAATTACTGCTTACCAGGATGAAAGCTTAAAGTAAGAGATTTTGAAGCTCATTACTTTCAATGATAAAAAATCGGACCAAATTCAATAACAGCAACACAAACACATGACAAGTCGCTCTTGGAATCAATAAATGCTATGGTCACCGGAATCCACAGAGCCTCTCCGATGAGATAAACGCAACGCGACAGCGAAGAAGGAGAGAGAGAGAGACTGAGGGCACGTGCAAGTATTGGAAATGGTAGTTTGGTCATTACATCATTACAAGGATATTTTGGTCAATAAAAACTAACAAGCGATGTCACATAATTTGTTCTGTTAGTTTATGATGGAAAAGTTACGGGAAAGGGTGATATGATAGAATTTTAAAAACATTAAGGAGTAATATGATAATTTCCATATTTGAGGGGGTTAGTAGATAGTTTTTGTAAACAACAGAGAGTTTTCAGATTTTAACTCATATATATATATTTATACACTAGTAAAACACACGTGCGATGAAGAGTTATTTTATAAGATACACTTATTAGAAGGAGAAATACATAAACTGTATAACAAAATACACTTAATGCACTGAAGGTTGCTAACCTTAGCAAGGATGCATTTGACTCGTCCTTCAATGATTGAATTAGTCGATTTCTTTATATTTCAGCGGGCCTATCTCCTTCTTCGCATGGTTAACCGACGATACTAAGACGCGTGCTGAAAAAGAAAAGGAGCTGTTGAATGAACAATTTGAGGTAGCGCTTGAACCTGTGGTAGAAGGACTTGCAAAGAATTCCACCAGTGTGGATGCTTTGAAGGAGAGCACAGACAATGCGCTCCTGGAAGGCCAAGCTTCTCATGCTGCCATGCTTGCAACCTCTAAAAAACCACATGCATATCCATTTTGAAACCTAACTTATGAATTTAAGTTTTGTGATTATGAACCTTACGGTGTCTTTTAAAACTTAGTATTAAGTCAGCAACTAGCTATTATCTTTCTCTATCATACACTCATCTTTGAATTCTTTAGTTTATATATATATATATATTCTGACTAGTATATTTTAGCATTTTGGCATCATTTCGTGTTTCAGAAATGGGCATGCCCTCTTTGGTTGCCTTGTTAGATTACCTTGTTTGCATTCTGTAGTATTGTTCATTATTAGTTCAAGGAAGGAAAAAGAAAGAGATGTACAAATATGTGTTAAAATTTAGGTCCATCTTTAGTCTTTCTTTCTCAACACCCTATGTAGAAAGGTAACTACTTTATGTGGGATCAGATTTTGATCTTTGAGAAAGCTTCCATTTCTAGGCCATCCAATATTTATACCCATGATGGTGGACATATATATGATTCCAAGTTTGATCATACACTTCACATAGTTACGCAAACATTTTTGCAAATTATAGGCTTGTTCAAGAATCTCAAATCAGCTACAACTAGTGGATGTAACAAACATGATCCCCCCATCATCTACATGAAAGCCACACATTTCATATCATTGACTCGTGAAATTCTTTTAGGTTACAATTGAACTGTCCCATGTCAGAGTAAAGGACTAGAAAGTCCTTGGTGTAATGGAGAGATAGAAATGGATTCTGGGAGAGATCGAAACGATGCTCTGATCTGATAGTTTTTTTCCTCTCCAAGTATCTTAAAGGTGCTCAAAGATGATTCAAATCCGAGAGATTATATTATTTTAATGAATTGCATGGCATTTAATGCGAACACGTTAAAGAGAGCAGCTTATACAATTACGTACAAAATACAATTAAATACGTGTTAATGTGCTTCAACCCTTTATTAATTCTTTATTTCATAAATTTATTATCTTTCAACTTGTTCACAAAAACATTAAGCAAACCATGAAATTGTCGCACTACCTTGTCTAGTTGTGCTTAAATAACATGAATTGGAAAAAAAGGAAAGGACAAAAGCAACACCAAAGGGGAAAGTACCATTCCTTCAAAGCCAACCATCACAACACTAAAACCAATCAGAGGATTGATCTACATAGAGGACAATTACTGTGGTGGTGGTTATCAAACTTGTCCTCTTTGTGAGACCAATGAAAATTTAATACGAAGTATATAAGTGTGATGATCCGAATTTTATGATTTTTAGACTCTCTTTATTTCTTAATTATTTATTAATTATGTATTTATTAAAGTTAATGGGTTTTGAAATTTAATTTAGTTTTGTTATTATATATATATATATATATTGTATGTTGATGAAAGTTGCCAACCGTGGGAAAAGGGAAAGATTTAATTGTAATGTTAATTTCGGGTTCCACTTGTATGATATTTTATGGTCTTTGATTTGGTTTTTTGATTTTATATATATCTTGTCAAAATGCTAATGGAGCTACTGCCGAAATGGAATAGAGAAAGGAAAAGTGGAAAGAGAAATAATGAATTTGTCATTGGCGCGGGTCCCACAGGAGTAATGGGTTGGTTTGTTTTTTTTATGGTTTGATTTATTATATATATATATATATATATATATATATGTTATTTATTGGAAGGTGATAAAGTAGGAGATAAGAAAGAGAATGTGTGGAAGAGATGTGAATAGGTGGACGGTTAAGAAGAAAGGAGATGAAGGGTTGTAATGATGTATTCGTGGGGCCCATAGTGATTTTAGTTTGGTAGAATTTATGTTGTTTTGATTTGTTCACGTGGGCTTCGAAAAGTGAAAAGAAGGAAGAGAGCAAGTCAGCCGAATGGAAAATGAGAGAGCAAAAGTTGAGATGGATGCGGGTCCCATTGAAAATGATTAAAGTGTTTTATCAAAATAAAACACTTTAATCATTTCCAATGGGACCGATAAAACACTTTAATCATTTCCAATGGGACCCGCATCCGTAACAAAATAAAACACTTTAATCATTTCCAATGGGACCCGCATCCATCTCTTGTAATGTATGTTGTGATGATAGAGGAACAGCCGAGATTGGAGTTGGAAAAGATATGGGCTTCACGTGGGTGTCTGATGGAGTGGGCATGTGATGAAGGGAATTGAAAAGATAATGTAAGTAGTGGTCACGTGGGTTTGTTAGTGGAATGGTCTTTAAATAAGGTGTGTGACTTTGGGTTTGCATGAGGAAAGCAAAAGATAAAAATTATAGAAGACGGAGAGTTTTGAGATACAGAGAGAGTAAGCAAAGACAGAAGAAAAAAAAAAAAGACAGAGTGAGTTTGAGGAAAAACAGAGAGTGAGTTTAAGGAAACAGAGAGGGCCGAGAGTTGCAGAGGGAGGCCGGAAACTTGGTGGCTTGATGATCCAGTGCAGGAATTCTTTTTCAGTGTAGGGTTCTCTATACCTTGAATGACATGGGGAGGTTTTGATTAAATATTTTATGAAATGTTTTGATTAAATACATATTTATTTTGTTTATACTCACTTGTATATGTTTATGTTGTGAAACTGTTTTATTAAACCTCCGTAAGATTCTTGTTATGGTTTTTCCTACTGGGACTTTTGTCTCACCACCCTCCAGTTTCAGGTACCAAGGACGAACGGGGATTGCTAGATTCGGGCTTAGGTTGAAGAGTTGGCGTTGCAGGAATTTATTTTTTTTATTTGGAGATTTTTTTTTGTGTATTTGAGGAAATTAATTTTGTATAAAAGAGGGGGTAATTTTTATAATCCTGGGTGATTATTTGTATTTGAATAAATCGAGAATTTTATTGGAATTCTCGAGGCGTGACAATAAGTTTGTGAGACCAGTTTTGACACATGGCATACCAGCTAACTCAATATCTTCATTTTGGGCATCAGTTTTTTGTAATAAACTGATTGTACCCAATAATTTATTGTATCACAAAAGTTTTAAGAAGCAAAATTTGAAACTTCAAGAATTTGTTGAAATGTCCAAACACACAAATGCAACAGAAACATGTACCGAAGTCCATAATAAGCAGGAAGTATATATGGCATAGGCCTAAGCATCATGAAATTTATAATGCACTAGTAAGTTAATTCTGTGGCAAATCATTGTTAAAAGAATGATCACTCTTTAATCTAAAAAATTAAAAAAATTCTGTTAGTTTCCAGATTGAATTCATATAGCCATTTTGAAAGCAATTAACAGAATTTGATGATATTGTTTTTTTCCTTCGAAGATTCGGAACTCCGATGTAGGTGTTGTGGGAATTACAGAAAATAAAAATGGTTGCTGATCAAGAATGGATGCGCTCAGCAAACCTGCAATATCATATCATTTTATTATTAAGTACTTTGAATGCAAAGATAGAAAATTGATCATACACCTTGAAAAGATAAAAAGTAAATAAAGCCAAAAGTTCCTATCTGTTAATCAAGGTGGTTGTGGATACTCATATTTCAAAAATGTGAAATGTATATAATACTCATATTTCAAAAATGTGAAATGTATATAATACTCATATTTCAAAAATGTGAAATATATATACATATATACATATATATATAAGCATCAATTTAAAATTAGTGAAAATGCATGGCTCATTAGCTTGTACATCTTCAAATTGTATTTGTTTTGGCGCACAGTAAAAAAAAAGAAATCGTATTGGATGAATGAAATGTCAAGATTTTGGCATCAATCTGAAAATTATATTTTTTATTGTCCCCAACCAAAGAACAAATTGAAAAGTTAATTATGTAACAAAGCCAGGACTATTTTTGGGATGGTCTATTAACTGAATTTTATTTTCTTTTCACACACATATATAACTCTTGCTTTTGAAAGCTGAGAGAACAGGATGCCCATTCAACTCTCTTGCAACCATGGGCCTTCCCCCCGCCTAGGCTGGCCCATGGCTATGGGGCCCTTCCATTTAACCCCATTAACATCAATTTTGTTATTTGCATATTGGCCAACCCATGGTGGGTTGCGTTCCTCTCTGCTGACCCGGAGGCTACCCCATCAGGGCTCGGGTCCTCTTTAACCCAGAGAAACTGGTGCGCACCTATTGTTGTCATGGAAGCGAGAGAGCGTACATTTGCCTGCACCGATGGCCAATGGCCAAACAATAAGAACCACAGTCAACCACTTTAATGCCCCACTTGGTCACAAGTCCACCACGTTACTGGACTCGACAATGTTAAAATACAATAAAGTTAATTATTAAGAAGAAGGTTATAGTGTATTTTATCAACGTGGGATTTTGTTAATATTAAAATTTCTTAGAGAATGGTTTATGTTTGTCTTTGTTTTTTGTATGTCTATATATATATATATATGTATTAGTTATTGGGAAAAAAAAGTATTGAAAATAACAAATCAATGAGGATACTTTGTTTCAAAGGCGTAGAATTTAATCAAACAGATAATATGATCATCATCATAATGAGTTGAACAACAAAAAAAAAAAAAGAATAAAATATAAAGAAAGAGATAACAAATATTGAAGACTATTAACTCAAATATTATATGCAATGTAAATGTTTACATTAACGTTGTATTTGGAAGCACCAAATCGAAACTTTAAAATTAAAATTCATGAAAAGTTTAGTTCAAAAAAACTCTTAAAATATATATATATATATATATATATATATATATATTATTATTATTCCATATGGGTGCTGCTTCAATCGTCTGCAAATTATCTTCATTAATCAGTTTGATCCTCTGTAAATCAAACCTGCCCGTGTGATGACCTCGATCCATACATGTAATTTGAATTCCCAATATTCATCCGTGAAGTGATTAAGTTGAATTCGGATAACTCTTTGCGGAGAGCAATACTAATTCATTTCCACCCCAAAAACAGCACGAATCACCATCACCTAATGATTCCATTCAAGAAAACAAACCCTGATTTTGAAAAAATGAAAAAAAATAAAACATTCACTCCTCTTCTTTGTATCTATAGTATTTTTGCTATGGTGAATTTCTCTCTCATTTAATAAAAGTCTCGAATCTTGGGTTACAAATTGGTGAAATACTAGGGAATCTAAAACCTTTTTGAATGATATTCAAGAAAAGAGTATTCTAGAAAAATTCATAGAATTAGAAGACCTCCTCCTCTTGGAGGAAATGATAAAGGAATACTCAAAGATCTACAAAAGCTTCATATAAGAATCCATAAAGAAACGATCCAATTAATCAAGATAGACAATGAGGATCGTATCCATTCGATTTTGCACTTCTCGACAAATATAATGTGTTTCATTATTCTAAGTGGTTACTCTATTCTGGGTAATGAAGAACTTGTTATTCTTACAGCATGTGTATATATACATTTATATTTTTTCTTAGTTGGTACTCACACATACTTGTCTCTTCTGAGATTTGAACCCCGACCTCCTTTTAGAAAGTAAGAGACTGATACCGCTGAGCCACTAGTCCGTTGATTTATATATATATATATATATGTTCTTATGTAGATACCAGGCCATAGTAAATTCGCCAGTATTTAATGCAAGGTACTAAACTCTAAAACTATTGTAATTTTGATTGGAATGGTAATGCAAGTAAAAGTATAAAAAAAAAAAAATGGGACCTTCACTTCTTTAAATTCGATAAAGATGATAAATCAAAACTTGAAATTCAAGCAATTTATTTTGACAATTAGACCCAAGTATCACTACTTTAGATATCAAAAATCTCCACCCGAGAGACCTAGTGGGACTATTTTGAAAAATTCGATGAGTTTTAGGTAATTTCGAGAAAGGGTTGCCCGTTCCCACCTCGAATATACTATCGATGATGTTATGAAACATTTTTTTTTTAATTTATTCTTTAGTTTTTATTGTTAGTGTATATTTTATTTCATTTTGATATTTCGGTGTGAAGTGTCCAGAAGACTCTCGATTGGAAAATAATTCCCAAATCACAAAATTTGAAGAAATCGAAATCATAAACATGAGAAACCATTGAATCTCCAAGGGAATTTAAAAAAAAAACTGCTAACACATGGATCCTACCAATATATGCTTAGGGCTTAATACCGATATTATGGTACACCGATTCCCGCCAAACATGAAGCCAATACTCCACCAGCTTAAACCTAGATAGGCATTGTGGGCTTAAGGCCTTTGGGCCTCCTGGGCTTGCCCATCTTTTGTGTATCCTCTTTTTGTTATAGAATTTTTTATTTATTTACCGGGAAATAAAATAAAATAAAATATCTGCCTCTGGAATTAATTCTTTGTATATATTTTGATTAAAATGAGATTTTAGCACAAAATTATATTTAAAGTGTAGATATATTTCATTATAAATAGTTAAGTTTCCTATTAATGATTCCTTATTTTAATAACCATACACAAACCCAAATGATTTAAACATATAATAAACTCATAAAGATTCAATTTTTATGCTTATACCCTTACTATTGCAAACCTTGACACTTCTTAATTTGTCAAAAGAAATATTATTAATAGATTTTCATTTTAATTCAATATAGGATACTAATAAAATATATAATTATATACTCTTATTATCTTGTAGGAATTTTTATTTTATGTACTACAATATTGTATTTTTCTTTTAATTTTTTTCGGTTGAATTATATTACACTCCACTCCACGTATTTTTTTTTTTTTTTTAATCAGTAGTGAGAGAAAACCTAGTGTAATTATTTTTTTCTTTCATTTATGTTCAATTGACAATTGGTTAATTCAGTTTCTTAAAGTAGGTAACACAAATACTTATATTTATTAAATTAGAAGATATTAGTGTCCTTTTAATTATTGTTACATTAGATTCAAAATCACATCTCATGTGTAGCACTGCTATTAAGTCAAATAATAAGAAAGGGACCATTTATTTATGGGAAGAATTAATGGGAGAAAGAAAAAAAAAATGTTTTCGAAAACCAACTTGCAAATTATTTTGTCTTTATTAATCTTTATGTGTGGTTAGTTTGTTTTGTTTTGACTTCCAAACTGCTCCATTTATTTTTATTGTATTTTTGGGTAACTGTATTGTTTATTGTCTTTCAATTTATTGTCACATAATAAACACGAGTGAAAAAAAAATTGAAGGGTCTTGTGAAATATTGGTACATTCTTTATTTTTTAAAGTAATATTCTTTATTTTTTAAAATAGATATTGAGTGTTTGACTCTTTAAAGGAGTACCGAGTGTATTATGTGTGAATTTTTTTGTCCATAACAAAAATAAATAAATAAATAAATAATAATAGTAATAATAATAATTATTAAAGAAAGAATGAAAAAAGTAGAATATATCGACAGTGAACAAAATAAACTAACAAAGACACCTTTTACATATAAAAATTGATTAAATTATCCTTTACATATAAAAGTGGACTAAATTATCGTTTAACTTAAAAGAAACTTTTTTAAATTTACAACTTAATATATTAGACCAATCTACCCTCCTGACAATTTATGCATAAAAAAAAACTTTAGAAAAAAAAAAAAAAAAAAACCGTGTCCATCGCCTTCCTCCAAATCCACCACCGCCGTCATCATCATCTCTCTCATCCTCACAACCTCCGTCGCTGCGCCGCCTTCCTCCTCTTCTCCGACTAAATCTCAATCTCAATCCCACCTCAATCAAACCTATGAATCAATTGAAAATTTTGCTCATCTTCTCACCAAACTCAACCACCCAGTTGTTCTCTGATTTTTAGAATTTGTTTTTTTGTTGAAATAGAGAGATTAAAATAAATAAATATTTAGCACTCACACCAAACTATGAGCAAGAGAGGAAATTTCACAAACCCAACATGAAACTTGTGAACAATTTCATTGTTTGTTGTGACAATAAGAGGGCAAAAACCAAAATTATCAACATTGATGAAAAATCACTCTCAACACTCACAGAAAATCACAAAACCAGAAAGGACCCTCTTTCTCCATCATCTCAAAGCAAAAGAAGATTTCACTTTTTCCTAGAAAATTCGCTGAACCCAAAAAGACTCTCTCCCTAGGAATCCAAAAGCTTGCAATGAAATCAAAGGACCCAGTAGAACGCTCAGAAACAAAAGACTCTCCCTTTCTTTCTCTCTCTAACAAAGCTTAACACTCTCCGGAAACACAAGCAATAATTTCCTAAAGCTTTGTTCAGGACCTTATATATTGCCTGAAACACACGCTATGACCTTACAAACCTTTTTTCTTCCCCTGCAATAGTATTTCTTTGTGCAACTTCAACGGTCAAAAAAGGGTTATGTCGCTTCCGGCCTTGTTGCAGAGAGCTCCACGGTGGGGCGTGTAGTGAAGGCAATCTTGCTTTCGGCACGTGGAGCTCTCGCAGTGGGATTTTAGGTCGGTGGTGGTGGTGGTGGTGGTGAAGGGAAAATGGGTGGTGGTGGTGCAGGTAAAGATGGGTGGTGGTGCAGGTAAAGATGGGTGGTGGTGGCGCAGTGAACGCCGTGTATATATAGAGAGAGAGACGGCGGCGGCGGCGGCGGCGGCGAACGCCGAGAAAAGGGGGAAGAAGTTTGGTTAGATAAATAAATGGAAGGGGTTACAGATTAGGGAAATGGAACGGGCTGGAGTAGGTGGGATGGGTGGGTCTTACCTGGCGCCACTTGGCAGCCACAATTTGTGACAGAAATACTGAGGGTAATTGTGTCTTTTTACCATTTCTTGATATTTAATAATAAATTTGATTTTAATATTGAAGAATAATTTTGTATTTTCAGAAGCTTTGAGATTTTATTTGGTTAGAATTTCGTACAAGGAGTCTTTGTCCAAAAAAATCAGTTTCAACTATGCTCTTTTGTCAAACTTTTATCCTTATTTTTATTTTGAAAAACTACTTAAATGAAAAATTTTAATTTTAAGAAAAAGAGCACGGTTTTCAAAAAAGAAAAGATAAAAAGCTGTATCTCATTCGTTCACATGTCAGTTTATTCATTGCGATTAAACCCTACATCAGAGCGTCGGTGTGGTGGGTCCCCGTTCCCATAAGGGCCAATTATTATTCTTAAAACTCTCCCTCCATCCCAATTTAACCACTGAGAATTAAACAGTTATTTATATGTAATTATGTATTGGACACAATTAAGCGAATATGTCTATACGGCTAGCTGTTTAAAGACCTTACTGGTGTAATTTCTCGTGAAATAGGGACTGCCCTTTAGAGGAATTTTAATGCAAAATGTCATTTCAGACTGTTTAATTTATATTTTGAGAGAAATTATAATATTAAAATATTATATTTTAATAACTTTATTTTAATAATACATTTCATCCAAAATATTATTTTTTAACACAAATATCATTTTTTTCAATTACCATTCACAAATACCATTCTTTTCCAACTAAAAAAATTGTACTTTTGGTGAGTGTTTATATTATATTTTGTTTGTTCGCCTGTTAAAAATAAATAAAAAATTTTTGAATCACCAAATTTATGTTTTGCATTTCAATACCACAATTCTAACGTGTGTGTGTGTGTGACCTAAATAGATAAAAATTGAAACCAATATATACTAACACAAATATAAAATGAAGTTCTTTCTCCGACAAGACAAAGTAGCAGAACATACATCATAGCCCAATATCTGGATTATGGGCTGAAATCTTAATTGGGGGTTATTCACGAGCTACACAACTTCAGAGATCAAACAACTCTTCAATGATCTGAGCAGATCAATCCTAGCAATACTAACCTTAGAAACCAGAAATGTATAAGCTTCGTGAGGTTTGCACTGTCTGTATCATCATCTCCATCACCTTCAAAGTCATTTGATTGGTCAGTGATGTCTGACTTCTTGGATGTCAAATGGAGCACCAAATAGCAGTTAGAAAGACTCAATATATATATATATATGCTCGATACATTGCATAAAGCCTTGTTCTTGCAAATTGAAAGTAAAATTCCATTCTTACAAAGAAATAAGAAAGAATTGAAGTAGAAACATAGAAAAATTCTGCGAATGTCAATAACAATGAGGTTTCTTTCACAATTTGTCTCAGATATTCATATACCAACAGCTTGAAAAGAATAACAAGAAACCCATAAACAAAGAAACGAACAAAAAAATCTTTATATATATGCACACACATATGACATATACATATAGAATACAAGTATTACTGATATCTACCAAAGATGAACACACTGAGATTATCTGAGATCCATACTCATCTCTCTTTTTTTCCTTAAACAAAATCGAAACTTTCTTCCTCAATCTTTCAGAATATAAGCATAAAGACCTAAAGACAAAAACAGAGACCTATATGTATAAAGAGTTGAGAAAGACATACATACCGATACACACACACATATATGAGGATGAGAAAGAAAAAGTGAAAGGGGGGAAGCACAGAAGAAGCATATGGATCTGAGAAGAGAGAGAGAGGGAGAGAGAGGGAGAGAGAGAGATATATAAATATATATATACACACACACACACACATATATGAGGATGAGAAAGAGAAAATACAGATCTGGAGAAGAGAGAATTTACCTGGTCGGTGTTCGTCGCCTTTAAGCGCCGGTCGCCGTTGATGATTGCCGGTCGTTGCAGAGGAGAGGGAGAGAGATACGATAGGGCATAGAATGCAACGAAAGGGACAGCAGAGAGACGGATAGGATTGAGGAAAGAGATACGATACGGCGTCGTACAGAGCAATAAGAGAATTGTCAAAAAATTATTGACAGCTGCTAGATTTGAGAATGGATTCGATAATCTCAAAATTTGAGCGCCTAAATGAGAGCATTGGAGTTGCTCTTATATACTCTTTTTCGATTCATTATAGTGAAATTTTCTCTTTGTATACGCGGGCAGAGTTTTCCTTATGGTGTAAAATGTTGAGTGTTGCATGTTATTCTGTAGCATAGATTACGACAATTTTTTTAAACTATTAAGAAAAAATTAGGACATGTTTGGTTCGTTTTCTTTAAAAAAAATTGCCTGTTTGGTACGTTTTTCGTTTTTAGGGAATTAATTTTTTTTGGATACTGTAATTTTGAAAATGCATTTGATAAAAAAAATTTTTTTTTTGTATAATAACAAAACGTTTCGTAAATATAAATCAAAAGTCAAAATATCAATATGATGCTTTTACATAATGTCTGAAATGACCTTTTTGATTTAGTTATTATATTTTTAAAATTTGCAACACTCTTTTATAAATTATATATATTTTTTGTTTTTATTTTAATTTTTTTTACAACAAATAAATATTACCAATCCAATTACCATTCAAAATACTTTATAATAAAATATTTATTTTGTTTCAAATTAAAAAAATGCAAAAAACAACAATTTTCCTTGACCTTTTTTCTTTTCTTCTCTTTTCTTGAAAATTTGAACATTCCCCAAACATCGCCTTATTCTCAACCCCTAACCCTTAAATATTTATTTTCTTTTTGATTAAAAAAAAATACAAAAAATCAACAATTTTCCTTGGACTTTTTTCTTTTATTTTCCTTACAAACGCGTTCAGTAGGCTATGTTTAGTATGGTGAGAAAGAAAAGAAATGATAATATTAGTTATGAAGGGAAGGGAAGGGAAGGACATGATAATTTTAACCCCCTATCGTATTTGGTTAATTAATGAAAGAAATAATAATAATAATAATAATAATAATCATAATCATATTCGGAAAAAGAAATAAAATGAAACTATTTTAATAAATTTACTATTATACCTTTTTATATTTTAAAAGAGAAATCTATTTTTTTTGAAGGGCTAATATTGTCTTTTTAGTCCCCAATGTTACACTGCCTAGGCTACTTATCATTTCAGCCTCCCCAATTCACTCCATCTCTATTCTCAATCTCAACTCTGAACTTAACCTCTCACTCTGTGCAATTGCAAACTACAAGATCTACAAGAAGCATAAGTTCAAAACTCATATATTTCAGTTTATCTATCTGTCTGTAATAATTAAAAAGACAATATTAGCCCTTTCAATACACAGATTTCGCATATTTTCACATTTAAAATTTACATATACAACATATACCACTGTCAAAAGTTAATTTTTTATTAGTTAAGTTATTTCTTATTGTTTAGGTATTTCGATTCAAAAAAAGATAAAAAAGAAGAATTGGGTTGCCAACTGTTTCTACTTTCGAAGTAATTAACTTCTAGGGTAAAGTACATAGACACCCCCTGAGGTTTGGGGTAAGGACAAACAGATGAAATTTAGTCTATTTTGGGACAAATACACCCCCTCAAGTTTGATACAGTAACCAAAGACACCCCAATGGTAATGAATTAATATTTTTGCCCTTTGACTTTTATATTGACCCATGTGAATATTGAAATTACCTTTCTAACCTCTATATTTATATATATATATATATATATATATATATTTATATATTTATTTATTTATTTATTTATCTCTCAATAATTTGTATATACATACATATATAATCAACGGAGAAGACGATGCGTCCTTTACCTCGGTGCCGACAGTGGCTTGTTCCTCGCCGGCTCATGATTCTTGTACAGAGCTTCGACGAGTCCATGGCAGAGAGCCCCGCCGACGGCCGTGGCCCACTCCTCGCCGACGCATGATCTTCTACAGAGCTCCGGCTATTCCATTGTAGAGAGCTTTGTCGACTCTAGATCCTTCGAATCCGACGAGGCCGATTCTAGATCCGCGGCCCACCTTCAATTCCATGACCCATAGAGCCCCATAGTCGCTGATGAGATAAGTGTGACAACAGTGAATGGATATTGTCACCGTCGTTGCTACATATTGCCAACTACCATAACGTCGCTGCCGCAAATCGCTACGCTCTCTCTTTTCACGGAGGTGACGACAACAACTAACTAGTGATTTCGAACTCTGGCAAGTCACAAAAAAATCCGCCCAACAGAATCCTCATCTCCGTTCCAAAATCAAAGCTCTTATCTTCAACAGTGTGCCCTCTGTTTTATTTATTTATTATTTATTTTTTTAATTTTATTTTTAATTTTTTTTGTAATTTGTGTTCTTAGACTGTTCTTAATTTGTATTTTGTTCAATTATTTATTTTGTTAGGTATTAATTTTCAATGATATTCAACTATGCGGAACGATTCGCCAGTGAGGACAATTTGCAAATCGCTGCTAGAAAGGACACACCGTCTTCTCCGTTGATTATATATATGTGTATATACAAATTATTGAGAGATAAATAAATAAATAAATCTAAAAATATAGAGATTAGAAAGGTAATTTCAAAATTCACATAGGTCAATATAAAAGTCAAAGGGCAAAAAAGCCAATTCATTACCATTGGGGTGTCTTTGGTTACTATATCAAACTTGAGGGAGTGTTTTTGTCCTAAAATATGCTAAGTTTCATTTGCCTGTCCTTACCCCAAACATCAGGGGGTGTCTATGTACTTTACCCTAACTTCTAAGATCACAATGAAATAATCTTTCCATTGCGCTACGACCCAGTCTTTAAAGTAGGGCTGCAACTCGAGCTGGGCCAGCCAAAATTTACCCGAGCCCAGCCCAAAATTTTCAGGGCTTGGGCAGTGTTTTTTTGTTCTAGGTCTGAGCTTGGGCTAGATATTCTGAGCCTGAATTAAATTCGGGCTGGGCTTGGGTTGATATTATATAAAGCCCGAAGTCCAGCCCGAGCCCGGAAATAGTATATTTAGTGTATAATAGCTTAGTTGGTAGTGTTTGTGATTTTTCTTGGAGGAATGCTGTTCGAGTCCTTGTAGGAACACAAATTTCTTATTTTTTACATTCTGAATACAGAGGTTCGGGCTGGGTATGGGCAGGAGAAGTTAGTTATGGGTCGGGCTTGGGCAAAAGATTTTGTACATCGGCTGAGCCCGAATTAAGTCTCTAACCCGCCCGAGTTGCAGCCCTACTCTAAAGTCACCAATCTAATTAACTTTGTTTTTGTTGGGCTTGTGGAAGCCCAATCTAAAACCTATCAGGTGGAGTGACCCTTGCCTATATGATTCCCAAATTTCTTTATTTTATAACCGACGTGGGACTCGTTCAACTATACTCAATATTCCCTTTCGTCTTCCTGTCATGCGGCTCTTTAAGACCTAGCTTTGATATCAGTTTTGAGCTTGTGGGTGTCTATCCTAAAAAGATAACTTATTAGGTGGAGTGACTCTTACCTTCTTATATAAATTTTAATTTTAATTTTTAATTTTTTTTTATTTTCTAATCGTGGGACCGTTCAACTTCTCAATAATTTGAACATTGCTTTGGAGGTTTTTGCTACCAAGGAGCTTTGTACTTTTTTGAACCTTACCAAGTGAAATCATATGCCAACTCAATATGTCACTGGAATTTGCACTTCCACCAATCCCAAAAAAAAAAAATTGTCAAATGCGTTCTACTAATAAGACAACAATAAATAGTTTTTGTTAAAAAATAAGAAAATAATAGGGAATAAAATAATGATGCTTGGTAGGAATTTTTTACTATAATACCAAGTTTTACAATTTTGAAAGCAATACCAAAATTGTTTAAACAATAAACAAGAGAAATTGAAGGAAGAAATCAGTACCAAGGACGCATTACTCTCTGGATGACCATTCACCCGTCTGTACTAGTTACAAAAAAATTCAAATAAATTAAATACTGATATTTTCCTATTACAACAATTTTCAAATATATTAAATAGTAACATTTTCAAGACAACAGGAACATTAATTTGAAAATGACATCAAGGCCATAGAGTGAGGCGTATAACGTTTTTTCTGTATATGGAGTGAATGCTTGTGGATTGAGATTAATTTGATCATATATATACATATAAATTTATATTTTAAATATATTAAAAACTATTATTTTATAAAATAAAATAGACTAAGTCCAATATAATTAAATCCAGCCCATATTCAGAAAGCCCATCTATATATCAACTCCTCATTTCCTCTCAGCAACCCAATCACGAAAATCACGGTAAAGTGGTCAAGTGGTCAACCGAAGGATCACTTGTGTTATACTGCCATTAATAGTCCCACCCACACTGAGTCACTCAATTGCAACAAAAAAGGGAAAACCCGTTTTTTTTCCTCTCAAAATCCTCCAAATCCCTGAAACCAAACGCGCCCTTAATGTTTCCAAGTACCTACGGCCTTCTCTAGTCACTCTCAATCGCAAGGAAAAGCAGGAAATAAGAGTTGTAACAGTACTGACTTTAAAGCATACTAGCTGTAAAGTGTATATGTGTACAGTCAAAGATTTGAAACCATTTTTGAGCTTCGCAAAATCAACAAACTAAGACATTATTGCATGCATGCATCACAGATTCACACGCTTGAATATATTACAGTACTATTTTACCAATTAAAATATGTTTAGGGCAAATCATTTCAGCCTCCCCAATCTCCTATTTTTAGGGCAAATCATTTCAGCCTTCCCAATCGCCTCCATCTCTATTCTCGTTCTCAACTCTCTCTCTCTCTCTCTGCAACTGCAAACTACCAGATCTAGAAGAATCAGAAGTTCAAAACCCATATATTTCAGTTGATCTATCTGTCTGCAAGAATCAAAAGATCAAAACCTAATACCTATACCAAAACCCATATCTGCATATCATTTCAGATTGTTCAAAAAATCAAGACCCATATCTTTCAGTTTCCATCGCCCGCTGTTCCAGTTCGGGTTCGCCGTTCGCAAGCTTCAGCCGCTGTCTCTCAACTCTCAAGCTTGCCCCCCTCGCTCTCTGCAACTGCTAACTTGTACGTATGGTTTTTTATTTTTTTATTTTACTTTTTTATTTTATTTTTTTTTTTACCTTCTAAATCAACTAATCAAGGTCTGTAATTATTGTTTTGCAAACTAAATCCTATTTGGTGAAATTTTTTATGATCTTTTTTATAGATTTTTTTTTTAAATTTTAATTTTAAATTTTTTTTATTTTAATATAAAGAAACAAAATTTGCATTGCATTTTGAGGTAATCACCGTAATCTGTTTTATTTATTATTATTATTATTATTATTTTTTGATGTTGTCAATTATGTCTACAAGAAAATTTGAATCTGGAAAAAAGAAAAAAAAGAAATCTGAATTGGATTAGAAATCTGCAGAGATTGAATCTGAAACAATATATATCAACATGCCAAATTTTTTGAAGATGGAAATCTTTTCAGAACTAAAAAAAAAAAAAAAAATCATAACAAGCACTCTGACAAGCAAAAGTACTTAATATAGGGTAAAGCTCTAAAGTTACTTCTTGAAAATTAAAATACTTACAAAAAGCATGCTTTTGAGTGAATTCCATAGTGTTGGAAGGGGCTTGCCATGAACTGCCTCACACTCTGCTTCCACTAGTAGATTCTCAAATAGGATTTGTAAATTAGTCAAAAGAAGAGATAGGGTACTGAGTGGTGAATTGTTCAGAAATAAATTGGTAATTTTTTTTATTAATTATCCAAATAGGATTTTCTATGCCTTAATCACTCAATTGTCTAAAGAAGCATTGTTAGTTAACTAAAATTGAATTAAACAACAGCTGATTTTGGTTGATATATTTTGATTTAGCTTACCCCATTGAGAAATCCTAGATGTTTTGTTTCACATAGAAATACAATCTGTGTAATGCACGAAGGATATATTCAATCTTTCTGCCATATTTTTATTTTCAAATTTTGGTTTTTGATTTTCTTTTGTTATTAGAATGCAGAATATCGGATATTGATTTGTTAATTTTGAAGATTATTCCTAAACTGATGCTTTGTACTTTGTTATTGGATTAATTTAACATAAGAGCTGAGTATAATATGTGCTAATCACACTTATCTGTAATCACACCTCTTTCTACCGACAAGTGTCCAACATTTTGACTGAAAGTATAGTTGAGTTGGGTTGATACACGATACATATAGTACTTAGATGGTGTTTTAATTGTAATGAGTGAGATTGTGAAACCCCTTCTTCACAACTTGAGTGTTTTCTTATTTTTAGGTTAGCATCGGGCCTAAACATTTAGCAAGAATAAGGTTCAAGAAACATCCCTCCTCGGTCATCAGGTAATAAACTCTTATTTTTTCTAAAATTTTAATTAGTATTTTTAGATATTGGTTACGTTTATTTTTTGTTTTTGTCTTTGTTTCAGAATATATGTTTTACAAGTTTATTAACGCTTTTAAAACTTTTTCTCTTTTGTCATAATAATATAGGTATCTTTTCCGAAAGAAGAGAGATGATGGGAATGGGTGGAGTATGGCAAAAGAAAATAGGTATGTTTTTTTGCCTAGCTAACTGAATTATATAAATCCCCTTGCTGATATTCTCTTTCCGTGCAGGAGTTTACCTTGAAAAAGGAAGGCGGCTGGTAATGCCCAAAAGGTTGTTAACCTCAGCCTGGCTGTAATGGACTCGTCGATTAATGAACGAGTTGTTTGTCAATTAATGAACGAGTTGGTCGACCAGCGGCGGCTGTGTCCTTCTACGCATGGTTCACTGAAGATACGCAGAGGGGAGCCGAAATAGAGAGAGGAGCTTCAGAAGAAGCTGCTTGAGGAAGCATTTAAAAGCATTTAAACCAGTGGTGGAAGGTCGACTCCCACCAGAGTGGATGCTTTGGTGGAGAGAAGTGCAAATGCCAAGCTTCAAATGCTGCAATGCTTGCACTGTTTGCGGCAGCAGCCCCTCTAAAAAGCAGCCACAGGGTCTTTGAATTCTCTAGTTTATATATATATATGCATGAATGGATGTTAAAGGTTTTTACAATTGCCTTAAAAGTTGAAAGTAGTTTGAAGTCCAATTATAGTATTCTGGCTTTTAGTATATTTTACTAGCATTTTGGCTTCATTTCTGGTGTTTCGGAAGTGGGCATATGCCCTCTTGCTCTTGCATTGTTGGATAGCCTTGAACAATTGATGGGTTTTGCTCTGAATTTGAAGTGGTACTCCCATTGGTAATCCACATCACTTGATCTCACCATGTTCTTCAATAGAGCCACAGATAAAATTGTTGGATAGCCTTGAACAATTGATGGGTTTCGCTCTGAATTTGAAGTAGTACTCCCATTGGTAATCCACATCACTTGAAGCACAGATCTCACCATGTTCTTCAATAGAGCCACTGAATGAATTGTGTTCCCCACAAGCGCATAAAGTAGCCCCTCAGCTGGATTAGGAAAGTTTCGGGTGAGCCACTATACTCTTTTAGTAGGGAACAACATTTATCTACTCATTCTTACTACTCGGTGGTATCATAAATACATACATTAGAGGTGGTTACAAACATATGTGTGTGTTTGGTTGAAGGGATGGATTTTGGTTATAGATATGGTGTGTGGATAACTGCGTGCATATATAGAGATATGGTGTGTGCATACATAGAGATATGGTAATTTATTAATCGTTTGGCTTGGGGATCACTCCAGCCATGGCTTGGCTTTTATGCGAGGGCATTTGGATTTCTTTTACAGGGGTGGGGTGTCTTGCATCCTTGGGTATTAGGGTTAGGATTAAGGTAAGGGTTGGGCTTATGAGAAGTACATGTGTACAAAAATATGCTCGTATTTACAAGGTAAACCCTAGAACCATGTATATATAGAAGTATTTTTGTGTGAGAATCGAATTAGGTAGTTCGAAACCATGTGATCAGGACTAATCCAAAAATGTTACGCAATCAAATATCCGTGTGTTGGCACTCCATTTTCATATATGGATTGCTTGGTTAGTGATAAGTTTTAATTAGTCATTAATAGTCTTATGGCAACCTTGTGGACGGATGTGTGTGAGCGTGTGCAGGTGATATTAGCAGGCTACCACACTGAGCGAGTTACAAATGCACAATCACACATTGCCTAAGAAGACATGATCCCAAGCTGATATTAAATCCAACTACAACTGCAAAATAATCAATTAAAAGAATTTGATATGTGGGCTTGTTTGCTTTCAAATATTCGGAACGCCAATGTAGGTGTTGCTTTCTTTCAAATATTTCACACATGCACATAAACATGTTTGTGCTCAAGACAGGAACAATTTATTCTAGTTCCAAGTTGTGCATAAACATCTTATCACATGTTCTAGTTCCAAGTTGCAACGTTAAAAATGCAGGTAAATCTGAGAAATACTGTATAAGGATACATTTGTCAATCTCAATAACAACACACTCGGCAGAACAATCCCCTGCAACCTTGCTTTCTGAGATCTAGAAATTATTACATGATCCGAGACTACATAGTCTAGACCAATAACAACTTGACGTATAAACAAAAGTCTAAATAAAGCTGACACATTTGTCATTGGCTGTACCATTTGCAGCCAGTTCAGATATTAGAAATTCTTTACTTAACCGGCTAATCAATACGAATGCAAAAAGACTGATATGCAAGAGATGATATCATGTGAAAACCATATTCTTAGCTCGGAATTGAGATGTACTATGCCAATGTATGCAGGATTTGGATATTGCATCAAAACATAAACAAACGAAAGAACTCGGAATTTTCAGGATTTATTTGATAAAAAGGCTCAATGAAGATATTCCATGTTAACACTAATTGTGATGTAAAAGGTGGTTATACGAACAATATTATCTCGTTGATTCTGTTAAATTTTACACTGCAGCTGGTTTGCTGGCTCCATGCTTACAAGGAACCCCTTGATTTTGATTCTGCAACTCATTTCCAGCCACGAGAAAGAATGCAGTGTGCCTGAATACAAAAGGGCATGCTTAATATGTTGTATCTTCCTTAAAAGAGGAAAAAAAAAAAAAATCCTAATAGTGCAGATATTACTGACAAAGAAGAGAAATAGAGATAGTATTACCTGAAAAAATTCATCATTTTAGTTTTCGAGTCTTCATCAATATCTGTGATGCTGTCCAATGCTTGTTGCATGTGATGCAACCACCTCTCCGCAGCTTGATGTGTGACAGGAAATGGACGGTGACGTCCAATTAGAGCAGGATGTCCTGCAGAAAAATTTAAAACAGAAAACAACATGATCTGGTTACACAAAGTCGGTCTAAAATAAAGAGTGGCAAATCACAAGAAGTATTTCGAATCCAATCTATATTCAACTTTTGCAACTGGCAAATAGATTGCATCTTCAAATTATAATAATTTAATAAGATAGAGAAACAACCATCATCGTTCTGAAATCAGTAATTTGAAGACCTCAACCAAAATGAAATCAGGAGTATTCTCAAGAACTTGGGATTTTAAGGCATGGTAGAATTGCCCAAAAATAGGGTTTGAGGAACTCTGCTTTTTGAAATTTACAACATATGTTGCTGGCTTCTAGCCTTCCACTCAGATTGGGCTTGCATATTCATCATTATAGAAACACAAAAGTTTAGTAGACCTAATACACCACCTATAAATTTATTGCATTCCGTTCCGTCCATCAATTTTTGCAATCAATTAATTGCGCACAATAATATATTGTATAAAAAAAGCTTAAGGCTCTGACACGGTAGTTAAATGACTGAAGGATAAATACCAACAGCTGCAATACTTGTCTCCTTGTAATCAAAATTAGATATCATTCTAGACAGGGTGGGGACGGTGAAAGGAATCAGTTACAGCTTCACCATGGATGGAAGAGCATCTTAAGCGATCACATTTGGATGGAAGAGAAATAGCTGGGTAACAAGTGGAACTCTGACCCTTGAATTATGTCTTTTGACTAATAATGAGATTTTACCCACAAAACAGAAAATAATATTGAAAAGAAAGAAGGAAAAAAAAGTCGAGGTATGTCCTTATTAAAATCATCATATCTACATGGGCTGTGCTATGTTCTGGCCGCCTTTTCGTAGATCTTTTACTTAAACAAATAAAAAAGAAAAATGACTTGGATCTTGAGACTCTTCTTCACCCACTGAAAGAAGAGCATCTTAAGTGACCGGACAGGATGGAAGAGAAAAGATCCAGGCAACATTTGAAACTCTGAACCCTTGAAGTCCTTTATCTCCTAACTAACCTCATGTTATAGAAAACCGAATATGAAACTTGAAAATGAAAGAGAAGTTCAAGATAACATCCTTTTGAAACTCCACGAGTACATGAGTTTGTTTCAGGGGTCGTTCGGTGGATATTTTACTTGAGGCCAAAAAGACCATAGTATGTTGACTGTTCAATGCATACACGCGCTTTAACTTGTCTCACAAAAGATGAAAGGAGGATATCCCTCAAAAGACTATTGCTTCCCCAATATACTAATACTATTTTTTCTCCCCTGATAAACATGAGATTCAAACTCCAAACTCCACCCCTCCCTTTTAGATGGCATGCCACAATATATTACCTCAAATTTGTGCCCCTAATGGCCAAATCCATCCTTCCCTTTTAGATCTCAGGTGCTATTTTCTGGTACAAGTACTCAAATATTATTCATGTTAGACCTATACACTACTTAAAACATGTCACTAGACCTCATGTGTTTAAGAAGCAAAATTTAAAACTTCAACAATTTGAAATGTCTCGAGTCCTTGGAGTGGAGAATTAGATGAATCCAAACACACAAATGCACCTAATACATGTACCAAAGTCCATGAATCATGATGAGCATCATGAAATTTATAGCGCATTGATAAGTTTGGTGGCTAAGCATAGGAAATACGGAATACTTGCGTATCAAAGTCCAACAATTCTGACCATAAAAAAGTCCATCTTGAGGTTAGATTCACACAAAATTGATAAAAGAATGATCAATCTTAATAAAATAAAATAAAACTTTCAATGAATTTCCAGATTGAATTCATAAAACAATCTTGAAATCAAACTGACAACTGCATAGAAATCAATTAAAAGAATTTGGTGGGCACGGTTACTTTCAAATATTCGGAACTCCAATGTATTTGAGTTGTGGGAATTATGGAAAAAAAAAAGGTTGCTCATATAGAATGGATAAGGTCAGTAAACCAGGCCAACCGTACCGATGTATAGAATGCATATGGATTCTTACAAGTACTATCATAGCATTTTAGTATTACTTTGAATGCAAAGATAGAAAAAATATCATACAGCTTGAAATTTTACCCAGAAATTGGAAATTTTGGTCACACCCATAAAAGAATCACTGGATTTCATCAATGTTTTCAACTAATTTGATGGCAACAAATTACAGGCCCATGAATTTGATGGCAGCAAATCACTGGATTACATCAGTGGGGCCCATGAATAATGATTGATTTAATGGGAAGTAAAACCTAAAAGCTCTAACCTTGAAGTGTAAGATTACCAAAAAGATGCATGCCAAAGGGTTCAATGACCTCACAGATAATTAAAACACCAAATTTACTGCGAATATAATTAAAAAACACTTAGCATAGAACGATAAAAGGTTTTTTTTTTCCTAAAAAGATAAAGTTTAATAAAGATTATTGACCTCTTCTCTCAGAATAGAGAGGAGGACCTCCCATTCTCTGCACAAAGAACTCGTATTGATTCTGAATTGCGTCTTCTTTCCTTGAATTTGCAAAAATTGACCGAAACCACTCTTCTTCGTCATCATAAACCCTGATTCAGTTTCAAGAAAAACAAAGCCAAAAATTTAATACCAATCTCAAATGAATCTCACAACTGCAGAATTTTATTTCTTCTTTTCATATATATATATATATATATATATATAATTAGCTCTTGTTAGTTGTTTTGAAAGCTCAGTAAAAAATGAAAATGAAAAAAATAAAAAATAAAAAAGGAGGAGAAGGAGAAATGGTAAATATCTTCGGCTGTGTTTGGTCCATTTTTTAAAACTTTAACTTCCAAGTCCTTCCATCCCCCGCACCCAGCGTAATCTTTCCTCTGTTTCTTTTCTTTCCTTATATTCTCATATCACTCCAACCAAACTGACCCTTAATCTTAGTATGAGAGGCAATCTAGTGCAAAACTAACTAAACTGATGCTTGTGAAAGACAATTATGAATTTTTATTTTTATTTTTTATTTGTGACTGATTAGAGTAAATTATGATTGACTTGTTACAAAAATTAATTCCTTCACCTCCTTCTTCCTCCAAATCCAAATCCTTCCATTTTTAACCCCTTCATAAAACTCTCTCCATTTCCTTTCTTTCTTGTCTCCTCTCATTTCTCTCCAATCAAACTGACCCTAATCTTTTGTCTCAGAGGCAATCCAGTACAATAAATAATAAGATCTACTTTTTTTAGTACCAAAAACAGAATAAATAATCGAATAAACAAAAATCCGCAACAAGTAATCCCATAAAAGCTAATAAACAGAACAATCTAATAACCGTCTTTATGAAAATCAAAATTAAATAAATGCATTCCTTCCGTTTGGCTGCCAAGAAAATATAGTAAAAGAACAAAAAAAAATCAATTTTCTCAGAAGGCATTTGATCAAATCGGAAACATGTTATATACTAGTAGTATACAAACATAAATATATATATATATATATATATATATATATATATACACAAATATACACTACAGACCTGTTGTAGAAATTGGTGGAGAGGTTGATGAAGGTTTGGAGGCCTAGCTTGTCAAAGAGATTGGTGGTGTCGATGGAGAAGGCGTCGTTGGGGTTGACTCCGCTCCACTCGGACGCCTTCTGTTGCAGAGACTGCATTTTCTCTCTCTATACTTTTACTTTCTCTCTATATATTGATCGTGGGGTGTGGGCTTGTGTTGGTCGCGTGGAGACGACGCCAGTTTTTTTTGGTGTGGACAAGGCGGTGGTATGGAGAAATGGGAGGAGTATTTATAGTGGGGAGTGGGAAGATAGCTTTTTGAGGACTAAATTGTTGGTAAGTTTCAACTTGTGAGAGGAATATTCAGTTTTGGGGGTGTGGGGAATTAAAAAAAGCCAAAACAGTGGGCTGTTGTCATCTTCACTTCCTGTGGATGGAGTTAATTCATGGGTCAAGGTTTTGGTGGCAACATTATGAGGTAACAATGTTCTCATATGTTTTGTGTGGGTGTGTGTGTGTTTTTATTATTTTTTAATTCCATTCAAATGAATTTGTTACTCTTCGTCTCATTTTATTTGTCTATGTTGGAAATTGTGATTCAATCATACATGTGTGTGTGATTTTATTTTATTTTATTTTAATTCCACTCAAATAAATTTGTTACTCCCTCGGTCCCAGTTTACAATGTAGACAAATAAAATGGGACGGAGGGAATAATATTTTACGTAAATTCTTTTTAAATTTCATAATTTCACTTATCTAACCTAAATTTTTTATTTATGGAACAAATTTTGTCATGGAGGATTATTTTGCTCTTCTAATACTTTAAATGATAGATAACATTTCATAGACAAAATTAGGGATAGCGTATTTGAGGGTCGTAATCGTGTCGTGTCGTGTCGTGTCGTGTCGATATAAGGATATTTTACTAAGCAGTTTAACCGGAATATGACCCGTTTAATAATCATATCAAGAACCCTCAACATTAATCTGATATTTTTATTAAATAAGTGTAGTTAAACAAGTTACACATGTAATCCATTTAATAACATTTTAAATAAAATTAAATATTTTATTATTTAAATTATTAATAATATTCAATTAAAATTTAAATACTAAAAAAATATATGTTTCAATCCAATCAAATTACTAAATAATCTCTAATTTATAAAAAATAAATTATAAAATACAAATATAGATAATTATTTTAAAACTTAAATAAAAATTTACTTGCGATACTTAAAACGAATATGAACAGGACTCACCCTCAACCAAACAGAACCCGAAAAACCTTTTGAACTGACAAGAAAGTGCTTTTTGACAGACATGCCCTAAATTACCTCTTATTCATTTCTCCCTTTTTATCCCTCTTCCATTAGACCACCCAGTTCAGATGAACAGTTAACAATTCTAATCTCTACTTGTGAACGGTTAACGAGAAGGGTTTATCGTTGAAGTGACTTGAAAACCCTAACCAACAAGGGAACGCCCAATTGCGGATTGAATTGAATCAGCTTACGATTCTAGAGAGAGTGTGTGTGGAGATATAGAGAAAGAATGTCGTTCAGATCAAAGGAAATGATGAAGAAGATCATGAAGAATATCGGTGGTGAGAAGAATTTGGCGCCTGGTGTGAAGGAATCTCTGAGGAAATGCATACCCGACAGCAAGATCGTCATGGGCAGAGCCCATCGAGGCCTCTACGCCGGCCGTCACATCCAGTTCGGCAATCGCATCAGCGAAGATGGTGGAAACAAGTCAGTCTCTCTCCTCTCTCTCTCAATATCTGTATATATATATACTCACACACACGCACGCTTATGGAGACATGAATATATATTATGCAATGGTGAATGAATTTCAAATATTGGTTCTTATTGTTTGTTTTTGTTCATGTTGTTTTTTATTCTTTTTTGAATTGTCGTTTTTCAAGTGATTGTGATTTGCGGAGTTGAATTTGGTGCTAATCCTGTTATACCGTATGTGAATTTCTAGTAAACTTATTTTCAGTAGAAGAAAATGGTGGGTTTTTTTATTTTATTGTGGATTGCAAGAATTCGAGTCTTGTAGATATTATTGTTAGTTTTCAATATCTAGAAATGAGGACCTGCGCCCTCTCTGGAGCTGTAAGGGGGTGGTGTTTAGTGTAACATGTAGGGTTTTGATGGTTGTATTATGTATATTAATTGCATATAATTGGGTATTGGGGTTTTTGTTTGTTAATTTTGCTAGCATGTTTAGCTATGTAATATGTAATGTGTGTATCATGAGCACAGAAGTTAGAATTACACGTTCCTTCACTTAAGAAGACTAGAAGTTCAGCTACTTCATCCCTTCACTTAAGAAGTTCAGCCCGCCATTCCTGCTACTTATGAGAGTTAAGAATAGGCAAAGAGGTCCTATTTGGGAATCCAAGAGGGAGGGTTGGGCTGATGATTTAACTCTTTTGAACCCAGACTTGCGTTCCAAGGTTCACTTCACTGTGAGGATAGAATTATATTTTTTGCCACTTCATTAGGTTCTGCGAAATATGTCGTACTTATTTGTGGTACTTTGTGGGTCACGAAGTGTTTCTTGGTAGTTTACTTGGAATCCTTGTGTCAGTAGATGATTTGAATGATTTAGATATCACTATGGCTTATATCTACTGAGCATTCCAAAACTTGCTAAGAGAATGGAGCTATCATTACAAATTCATGGGCAAAAGGTCTTGCTAATATCAGAAAGAAATATGGACATCAGGTTTCATTAAATCTTTGATACTTGCTTTAAACATTTTAAGGCACTTTCTTTGAATCTTTGATATATATATTCATTATATATTAAACATTTTTAAGATGGCTTTTCATTAGGCAGAGAATACTGGTTGTAACATCACACGCAAAAAGCTTACTTGTTTAGAAAATTTTAAATTTAAGAGCTGGAGAACCGTCCATATGAGGGTTGGATGATCATTCAACAAATAGAATGTGTGGCTCTATGACATGGCCCACATGGGTATCGTTTGGGAATTATTGGACTTCTGTGTTAATATTTATCCCATTCTAAAATATTGTTGTCTGCCACTCTTTTGTTATCGTAGAAAACTATTATTCCGATTCTTAATAATCACAGTTCTTTTAGTATTTGTCTTGGTCTTTGTAAGGGGACTTAATACAAGTCACATAATCACATTGGCAAACTCATTGTGATATGTGTCTCAACTACTAACTTGAAAGTTGCATGGACACCTTCCAACATTTTTTGTGTAACAAAGTTCCACAAGTAAGTTCTTTGTTGTATAAAAAATCTTTGATATGCATTATTGCGTTTCGTTAGGAATCATTAGAAATTCTGGGGTTGAGGGGATTAGAAGCTTTGAAGGACAATTGACCAAAATTTTTGGAGGCCGAATTTGTATAGTAAGTTCCCTCTATAGAAAAGCATTTCGGAGGCTATATATGATTCAAGTGATGGGGATCTTAATGAATAATAGAACAAACTTGTTAGGTGACTAAGAATGCGGGTTTGAGCATGAGGCAAGGCACTTTGTTCCAATCAAGGACGGAGGCATTCAAAGTCCAGTGGGGGCAATTGCCCCCACTGGAAATTTATTTTTTATATTATACCCCCTGTAAAAAAATTATTTTGAAATATATACCTATAAAAAAACCCATTGCCCCACAGAAATATTTGAAAATTAGCACTATTGCCCCCACAAATCCACATTGAGCTTCTTTAAAGAGAAAGGGCCAATGGCCCAAACCACTGAAAGCATCAATCTAACCATCAAACACGTTACATAGAAGGTTATTTATAATGGTTTGAATTTTTTTTTTTTTTTTGCTTATTATAATGGTTTGATTTTTTTTTTTTTTTTTTTTTTTGGTTGTTGTTGTTGTTGTTGTTGCTGTTGCTGCTGTTAAAAGTCGCCCCCACTCACATAATTTTCTAAATCCGTCCCTGGTTCCAATAATGCCAAAGATAGGTTTTAATTTATTCTTCATTAATGGGATCAACACTGGGTAATACCGTTTTTGAAATAAATAAAATCAAAGTCATGGACTTTGAAGTTCGCTCCTTTAAACATCACTTGAAAGCTTCGACATGCTTACTGAAGAGTTCTGGTAGTAAGCTATAAGGAGGGTGAAATTTGTAACATTTATGAGAGCTGAAGCCCCACGCTTCTTTCACCAGCAAATTTCTACAGTGTGTGTGAAGACTAAGAAGAGATTTCTACAACCAGCTACAGTGCTTTTTATTGGAACTGACAGCAATGAACATGCATTTTTTACAAGTAGGAAGATGTAAACATGCAAATACATCTATCCAGCTGTTGCAGGAAATTCCTTGAATAAGGAATAAGGCACTCGATCTGTTATGTGAATAGGCGAAAGAAGGATTGTTAAGGAATGGGCTAAGGGTGATGCCTCTGGATTTTTCTGGGCTAAAGATAGTTTACTTTATTGCTGTAAATAAGAGATTCTATATCAACTAGATAGGCAAGAATCAGTGTCGTGGAAGCTGTCAGAGAGCAGCCCTAACTCTTTCAAATATTGATCTTTTAAAGATTTTTCCTTCTAAAATCATCCATCACTCTGTAACTCTCCCAAGAAGGCTATGTATTTACCTTTTCATCACCTTGTTGTGTTGACACCATTGCTATTTTATTAGGCATGGAGCTTTTGAAGTTGGTTAGGAAGCCAACTTGGTTAGCTTCGAGTTGGCTTGAGAACCGAATACCGGCAGCTATAAAAAGGCCTTAAGGACTCTCCAAGTCTGCTCGAGAATCGGCTACGAATAGCCATTATATGGCCAAAGGGACTCTCCAAGTCTGCTCGGTAATTGACTGCCTACAGCTATTAAAAGGTCTACTGGACTCTTCAAGTCTGCTTGGGATCAACTATCAAAAGCTATTAAATGCCTTCGGACCTCGTTTGCATTCAAGTTGATGGGCGACTAAGTCTCTAAGGAATGTGTCCAATATGTAAAACTGTTGTCTGGGAAGGCAAGTGATAGTAAGGGTATCTCATGAACTGTATGTGTGCTGGAAAAGGCCAATAAAGTCTTTAGTGTGATGGTGATGTGCATGTGGTGCGTACGCTGCTTGTGTACGCTTCCTTAGTAATATATATACATGGTTATGATGTGCTACACTATAAGAATTTCTTTAGAATAGCAACTTGGAATATACAAATATTGATAGGTGAAGGTTATGACTTATGGATTTGGTAGAAAACAGATTAGGAAGAGAGTAATAGATCATAAATTCAGGAAACTAAGTTGGTATGAGATTATGCTAGAGAAATTAAAACAAGATATGGGCTTTATTACATTGGAGAAGATAAACATAGAAAATAGAAATAAAATATGGATAATATAGTTGATAATAATTTAAAAGAATAAGTTAAAATTGTTACAAGAAAGGTGATTGAGCAATGATGTAGAACTTGTATTTGGAGAAAATATTGTTAATGAATAAGTGCTTCTGCGCCCCAAGTAAAAGTAGAATGAAGAGATAAAAGTACAATTTTGAAAATACAGATGAGTTTATTCAAGGAAAATCCGCACGAAATAAATTATATATGAGAGGAAACTTTAATGGTCATGCAAGAAAGGATGTGTATGAAATGGGGCAAGATGAAAATTGATTTGGAGATAGGAGAAACGCTAGGGAGATGCTATCGTAGACTTGGCAATGGCATATAGTTTATGATAATGGATATCTATTTTGAAATGAGAGATGAATATTTAATATTTAATAACCTTTCAAGTGGAATATAGTCATTAACAGGATTCCAATTTGTTTTTTTCCCTAACCAGAAGATACCTCAACTAACATGCAAAGCTTGGAATGTTATTTTATGAGAGAGCTTAACATGCAACACAGGTTCACAACAAAACTTGCCTTTACTAATTCACTTGTCATGAAATCAGAGAACATGGCTTTGATGGCGGGCTCAATATAGGTCTGCCACCAAGAAGAACATACCTGATATAGCTGGAATCACCTCACCAAAAAGACATAGATTCACACTTTTAGATGTATATATTAAACAATAATCAATAAAGAGAAAGGGGATTAGAAATTCAAGATCTAAGTTATGGAATTTAGAAGGGGACAAGTATAATTATTTAAGAATAAAATGCTAAAAGATGAAAGGCAAGGATGTTGACAATGACGCTAACAGAAGAAATATGGAATTTAGAAGATGAAAGTAATGTAACTTGGAATAGGATGGTCAAATGTATTTGAATAATGTCAAAGAGATTCTTGAAAAATCAAAAGGACGATTAAAAAAAATAAAATAACTTGGTGGTGGGGTGAGGATGCACAAACTGTATGTTGAGTTGAGATTCTTGAGAGGCAAATATGATGATGTTGAAAGAAGCAATATGGAATTTAGAACATGAAAGTAATCCAACATGGAATAGGATAGTCAAATGCATTTAAATAATGTCAAAAGAGATTCTTCGGAAGTAAAAAGGTGATTAGAAAAAAAAATGTGGTGGGATGAAAATGTCCAATAACAGTAGAAACAAAAGGAGAGAGTTAAAATTTGACAAATGGTTAGAAATCAAAGTAGTTTCGAAAACTACAAATTTGCAAAGAAGGAAGTTGAAAAAGTACCAAGAGTACCTAAGTGCAAGGAATACGGTGATATTTATTCTAAGTTAAGTACATAGGATAGGAGGAGTAATATAAACAGGTTTTTTATTTTTTATTTTTTTTAAAAAATAAAAAGATAAGGAGAGAAAAATTTGATATTTTAACCATATAAGGGCACCAAGATGAGGACTTGAAGGTCGTGGTAGAAGATGACAAGATTAGAGAAAGGTGAAAATTCACATTAAGTTGTTTTATGGACACCATATAGGAAGCCTAGGTTAATATGTTATCTAAGGGAGTTTTGAGAAATTAAGGATTTTTTTTTTTTGTTGTTGTTGGATTAGGTTCCGATATAAAAATAAAATAAAATAAAATAACACTGAAGAAGACTAGGACATAAAGGGCATTAAGACAGCATGTCATTTCTATTGAGATTTTGGAAGTGTTTGTGGGACTTGTAACAAAATTGTCCAATAAGATCATAATAACTAAGAAAATGCTTGGTGAGTGATGAAAAAGTGTTTTAGGAGGTGTATAAAATTTTCCTTCATGCTCTTCTTAAGCTAATTGTTCTTATCTATAGTCTGCAGGTGTGTCTCAAATGCCAAAATTTCATGCTTGCTTTCATATTCTTAAAACAAAATTGCAAGTTAGTCAACCTAGCAGTATTTACATGCCAATTCATGGATCAAATTGTAAATTTAGATTATAGGGGGGGAAAAGCTATTTCTGTAAAGTAATGCATATGCATGATTTGGGAGAGAGATCGTATTTAACAAATCTTGTTATTGTCAGACTTAACATCAGCTTATTCAATCAGGTTTTCGAGAGGACCAAGTGTTGGCCCCATTTTCGTTGAAAGTCCTAAGTTACATAGGATTTGCATGACTAGAAACACTGTTGAGTTGGTGATACTTATCCTGATGTAGGTCAAAACCAAATGAATACCTGTGGGTTAGATGATTTGTCAATTTGAAGTGAGGGTGATATCTGTATTCTTGGATAACTATACCTAGCATATTGGCCTTCAGCAGATGATATAATTCTTGGCATACTTTGTACAATTTATGTGAGAGCATAAGTATTGTAGATAAACAGTTTTTCCTTGTGCCCTTCTTTGTATTTAAAGTTTTATTATCATCCATGAATTAATAAAGGAAAAGAGTGTCTTATTTCTCAAGAGCATTTGGGCAAATATTGATCATAGGACAAGGAGGACCTGGAAGCCAAATGTACAGGATAAGCGACTCTTCAGTTACATCCTAGATCGCCACATTCGCATGAAAGTTACCACCCATGCTCTCCGTTGCATAGACAAGGCAGGCGGGATTGACGAGTACCTACTGAAGACACCATACCATAAGATGGACACAGAAATGGGCCTCTTCTGGAAAGCCAAGATTGAGAAGATGTATGAAGAGCTTCGGGACATGGAGGTAGCTTTCTTTACGCCTGAGGATGAAGCCAAGTTTGAACAAGATTTCAAAGAACTGAAAATAGCTCAGAGAGCAGCTCGTAGGGAAGCCAGAAGACAGATGTACGGATGGTCGGGCGAGCAGAAGCAGATTGAAGAAGAAAGTGCTGATGCTGAAGCAACTGGTGAGGAAGCTGCGAGTATCGGGGAAGGAAGCTCACATGATGATGGTCCTGAACCGTTGGTTGCCAATTCATAGATTCGGGCTTCAACCCCAGTTTGTCGTGCTGTTGGTCTTTTTGTTAGAATTAACTGACAATTTCGGAATTCTGTCTCTCTTTCATGTTTATGTAGTTCATTATCTATAAGCTTGAGGCATGATAGCTGGATTGCTTTTATACCATGCATTTGTTCAAATATTCCATCCATTCAGGTTGGAATTGTAGTTAATCAATGTATTTCTGTAACTGGATGTGCCCTAGAATCTATGATCCTTTGTCTGGTAAAAAGGAAATGATTTTGATATTTGCCAAATCAAAAGTAATAAGAATGTTTTGATGCCCATTGCAGTGATTTCTTTCCATGGTGGTGTTGAAAAGGGAGGTGATGAATGCATGTATGGTCCTTGTTCAGTTGATGAGAATAAAGTACAAGGGACATTTATTAGTTAAAAAAAAAAGAAAAAAGAAAAAAAAGAGTGCATTTATAAGCATAAAATGCATTTATCATTTTTCAATTATACAACACACAATATTCTTATTTACAGGATTTGGAGGGGACATTCTTGTGTTTGGATCTGATGGCTATGAGACATTTAACAGTATTCTTTGTATATATATTGTGTTATTTTTATTTATTTATTTATTTTTTAATTTGAAAGTTAATATATAGTTATTGGTTGCTTGCTCTTCTATTTGCCATTATCTTATATTTTATTTCCATGTAAAATGTAAATTGGAACAAGATAGCTCTGGGCCTCTGGCACATTAGATGGTACTGTTACTTTTTCAAATCCGTCCGATTAATAAAAATATTTTTTTAATTTTCGTTCGGAGAGTCCCGCATTGGAGATTGGTAGGATTTGGGCTTCCTATGTACATATTTTTAAAGAGAAATAATTCAAATTTGAATAAATTTAAAATAAATTTTATAAAAATATTTAATATAGTCAAATATTTAAGAATCATAATAACAAAAATACCGTTAAAATTTAAAGTTATCATAAAAATAACAATAATAAAAAATTATAGGTAATAAATGAATATTTATTTATATATTATATATTGATTGGGACGGTTCGGAATGGCCATCCCTTTTTCAAACTCAATATTTTTTTAGTTTTAATTTAGAGCGTTTCACATTTAGTTAAATTGATATTCCTATGAATGAAGGAGGACATGAAAATAATTACATTTGTATCCAACATGAAAACTTTGAAATTATAAATATGATATTGGAATATATGAATTTAAGATGAGCCACTCTCTTTAAACTGTAGTACTAAAAGTTTAATGGTATTTGATATAATCAAGGTTAATTACTCCATATTATTTGTCTTATTATTATTTTTTTTTTTGAAAGAAAAACAAAAGAATACAAAAAATGACTATTTTTTTTAAGAAGCTCTAATTTTCGAAAAAGAAAAGTTTTTTATCTGAAAATTGAAGCAAATTTATAGGTAATAAACTTTCACGAGTTGATTATATGGATGAATTAAATATGTGAATTTATTTATAAAAAAAGAGGAAAAAGAAAAAGAAAAGTTTTTTTTTTAGTTAAAAGGTAAGCTTAAGAAAAATAAAAGTTGATTTCTATATATGTACATATATGTTTACTATTTTTTCATTCTCACAAGTCCACATGTTATCTCTGCTAATAAATAGGAGTAGCTATATAACCAAACAGACCTGAATTTGTTGTTCCTTGTTCTATCCACTTTCTGTGAACAATCTAACCTAGGGTTTTTCTAGGGTTTTCCTGAGAAACAAACAATGGCCACAGACTACGTAATCAACGTCGATCGATTCCAGAGCTTCTTCAACGAGCTCGAAACCCGCAAGACCCTCCTCACAACAATCACAGAGCTACACAACAAACTCACCACCCACTTCACATCATTAGAACAATCTTTCGCACAAAAATCACAAACCCTAGACTCCAAGATCGAAGCTTTCGATGCCCAAACCAAAAAAACCCTCGAATCACTCGAAAATCGCGAGAACACAATCCCCGAGCGCGAGTCCGCCGCTGCGGCCCGCATCGAGGAGCAGAAGGAATCGGCGATCTCCGATATTGAAAAGTTGGGTTCTGAGGGCGTGGGAGAGAGGAATTTGTCTGATGTGTTGAGAATGTATTGTAAAATGATGGATTCGAAAGGTTTGGTGAAGTTCTTGCTGGCAAAAAGGAAGGAGTCGGTGGCACTGCGGACGGATATTGCAGCGGCATTGGAGGCGGCTGTGGATCCGATGAGGTTGGTGTTGGACGCCGTAGAGGAGTTTGTGGAGACAAAGGTGGAGGGGAAGGTTGGAGTGGCAGATAGGCGTTGGGCGTGTGGTATCTTGATTCAGGCGGCTGTGACCGTTGGGGAGTCGGTCAATGATGGTGTGGCGCGTAGTCTGAGGGAGAGGGCGGCCGGGGTGTTAGAGAAGTGGAAGGGATTGTTGGGTGGTGGAGAGGGGAGTGGGGTGGGGGCAGGTGAGGCAGCGATGTTTTTGCAAATGGTGGTTGGGGTTGGATTGAAGGAGAAGTTTGAGGAGGAGTTCTTGAGGAAGTTAGTGGTGGATTTCGCAGCTAGGAGGGATATGGCAAAGCTTGCGGTAGCTTTGGGGTTTGGAGACAAAATGGGAGGTATGAACTTCTGTGAAACTTTGATATATATGTGTTTGTGCGATTGTCTTTTTTTTGAAGTGTGAAATGATGGTTATAATGTGTATTATTTATCAGTGTGTCACATGGCATGTTATTTTAAAGGTTGTGTATCTCGGAAACATCACTGAAACACCAAATTAAAATAGAAATGAGGTTGCTTATTGAGATCCTTTAGTGCCCATTTGTTGTCAGAAAAAAAAAAAATTTATACGGTCTCCTGTTAGCATAATCTTGTTCTGTCATTTCAGATGAGTAGTAAAGCTTTATGTGTTGGTGTAATTTGCAGGGGATGTTGAAATGTTTCATTAATCTTTTACAATTGCATATAATACAATTGATCTTGCACTTTTCTTATTTAAATTATATTTGTGTATCCATCATTGGTGTATCCATCTCTGGTGTTGGGCATATCCATGGGTTGAGCAAAGTTAGCTGATGCAAGAAATGAATTAATTAGGTGGAGAACAGCTGGATAATTACTAGTTGTTATATGACATAGTAATTTAGGTAATGACAAGGAGGATAACATCTAGCAAACCTATGTTGTTGAGTTAACCTTGTTTATAAATTAAAATCTATACCAAATTATTAAACCTTTTAACAGTAGCTCTGGTTAAACATTTTAATATTCTAAGTTATGATGGGTGTGGAAATAATGAAATTTGAAGCCAAAACAAGCTACTTCATGAACTTCATTATAATACCCAATTGATTATTTATTTGAATGCCCATTAAATTCAAAGGAACCAATTTGACCATCGTATCAGGTTTAAGCACCTCTACTAAACTATCTAATGGTTGAGTAGCTGCAACCACAACTATCCCAGCACCATTATAAGAATTTCTACAGCCAATGCCACTCCCCACATCGCCATTACTTTTTCTGTTGCAGTTACCAGCGTCAACTTTGTGTATTAATTTTGCTTTCCATTTAGACAGTTTCATATGTGTATAAGCAATATGTATTACAAGGAAACACTCAGTTTAGAAGCGGTAGGGATGATGGCATCTACCCCAAACGTCACCAAAAAAAACTTCTAGCAATCTTGTGGGGTGGGGGAGCGGCATGCTCCTTGAAATAAGGCTCGGTCAGAATACTTTGTTAATGATATTAGTTGTGGTATCAACTAATATTTCTTAAATTAGCTTAGCTATGTATTTAGATTTTTTGTTGTCAAACTTTAATGTCTCTTCTCTTATTCATAAGAAAATTTTAAGGGAAAATTACATTGACCGCCCCTTTAGAAAGGCCAAATAACAGAGACCTCTATGTTTTAAAAAAGGACACTGACCTCCCCACCCCTTGTTTCAAGGTGCAGCATGCTCCTTGAAACAAGGCTCGGTCAGAAAACTTTGTTAATGATATTACTCATTAGTTATAGTATCAACTAATATTTCTTAAATTAGCTTAGCTTCGTATTTAGATTTTTTGTTGTCAAACTTTAAAGTCTCTTTTTCTTATTTATAAGAAAATTTCAAGGGAAATTTACATTGACCAGACCTTTAGCAAGTCTAAATAACAGGGACCTCTATGTTTTAAAAAATGACACTGACCTCCCCTGTCAGTAACGTCAGTTGAGCTCTGTTAACAAATTGTGCAATTTTACGTTAATACCCATTTATATATGTATTGTTTAATTAAAGAGGCGTGTTTGTAAAAGGACAAATATACTCGATCAGAACTTTTTTTTATCATTAGATCAAAATGCTAAACTAGAGAGAGAAATCCTAACTTCTTTTTTGCTATAAAATTCTCTTTTTATTTATTAATGATAAGTAAGACTTTACTAAAATTCTCCTCTCTCACTAAGTATGGCTGCACACACACACACACACACGTGTATATATATATATATATATGCATATGGTGCTAAAATTCTCTCGTCTCTCACCTCTCTACCCTCAAGAGAACTGGTTTGGTTCTCTTTTCCTTTTGGACATTTCCTTTCTGATCAAAACCCAACTTGAATTTTCATTTTCCTGATGTATTTTCTTCGTAGAAAAATCTAAATCGATGTGAAGGGAATTCATGGATGATAGTGGCTCATATGATAATGGTTGCGATAGACTTAGGTCTATAATCATTGCCTTGGAGCATGGCTCGGCTAGGGGAAGAATCCATTGTCCATGGTGTTCTTTGCATTCATCACCCTTGTTTCTACATTCCTTCTTTGCAACTGGTACATATTAGATTACCTTACGCTAACTATGTTCCCATGGGAAATTGATATCTTGAATTCTGCTAAGATGAGTTAAGGTAATAATCAATGTGGATTAGTACACAATTTCTTTTCTTAGTTGTTTTGCAAGTTGAAACTACACACTTATTGCCTAAATGTAGAATTTGCTTGGGCTGCCACCCTGATGACTGGTTGTCGGGGAATTTTGTCCAAGTCCGATGATTTCAACAAGTTGCTCTGTGTGATTGTGTGAATGATGAGTTCGGTGAGAGAGAGAAACTTTGAATGAGAGAGAGAGATAAGGGTTCAAAGAGTGAGAGAGAGGAGAGATTGAGTGAGAGAACGAGAGGCCAGAGGGGGGTTTGGGGTTAGAGGGAACAAATAATATAGAGAGAGAGGAAAAATGATATTTTGATTGATTTGGTTTAGGGCATTTTCAACCTATTTCCTCTCTTTGTACCAGATTCCGATTGCCGTTGTGAAGAAGATCAAGAAGCTTCAGAGGAGCTTCTTGTGGGTTGGTATCGGAGAGGAGTTTAAGTATCATGTTAATTGGAAGCAAGTGTGCAAGAAATCAGTAAGGTGGGGTGGGGATTAGGAGGTTTGATATGTTCAAAAGGGCTTGTTGGGCTAGTAATTGTTCAAAAGGGCTTTTTTTAGACACTATGTAGGAGGGTTATTAGTTGCAAGTTCAGGGAAAGTAGGGGCAATTGGTACTCTATGGAGGTGAGGTACCCAGGGGGTGGGATGCCTTCTCCAAGCACGTTTGATTTCGATTGAAAAGTGGGAAGAATATTAGACTTTGGGTGGATGATTGGGGTGGTGGGAGATCACTAGCAAGAGCTATCCCAAGTCTCTCCAGATTGCTATGAATGGACTCTCTTCAGTAGCTGACTGTTATCGCCTTGATAGCGGTTGTTGGTTTGGGATATTCAGTTCATGAGGCATCTTCAGGACTGGGAGGTGGACTTTGTTCGGTTTTTGGTTTTGTTGTGCAGTCAGTAGGTAATCGGCAAGGGGGATGATGAGTGGATTTAGGTGGCTTATTCTCATGGGAGGTTTGAGGTTCACTCCTTCTATAGGAGATTGGTAGGCGAGCAGGGGCTTCCTTTCCCCGGAAGGCTATTTGCCACACAAAATCCCTGTTGAAGGTAACTTTTTTCAGTTGGACAATAGCCTTGGGGAGGGGAGGGTTTTGACAATTGATAACCTTAGGAGAAGAAAGCAAATCATTGTCGATTGGTGTTGCATGTGCAAGAAGGACGAGGAGTCAGTGAACCATCACTTGTTACATTGTTCAGTAGCTCGGGAGGTTTGGGATTTGCTTCTTGCAGTGTTTGGTATTTGCTGGATCATGCTGTCTTCTACGAGGTAAATGCTTGAAGCTTGGAGAGGGTGTATAGTGGGGAAGCAAGTTCAGGATGCTTGGAGGGTGGCCCCTCTTTGTGTGTGGTGGGGTTTTTGACAGGAGATCCTTTGAAGGGGAGGAGACTCCTATTTGGGCTTTGAAATTCTTCATACTTAGTTCCTTATTCTTTTGGATCTGTGGTAGATTTTGTAAATTAGTGGAGGATCTATTGGCTTTTGTGGATAGTTTGGGGGTGCACTAGTTTTTTGGGTTTGTGCTTTGTAAGTGGGATTCGCTCCCCTTTGAACGCTTTTTATGAAATCTAAAAAAAAAAAAAAAAGAACCAGGACATCAGCAAATTCCGTTATTGACTGTTGTGACAGATGCCAGTACTACAAAACTATCACCGACCGGGGAGGTCAGTGTATTTGTGAAAACATAGCAGCGGTTCCTATTATTTAGCCTCTCTACAGGCTAGGACAATGTAATTTTCCCAAATTTTAATGTCTTTCCAGAATGTTAGTTGAAGTGAGTGCTTCTATTTTATAGAAACATGCTCAAGTTTATCAATGTTTTAGATTTTTTTTTTTTAAAGTTTGTGGATGTATTAGGCTATAGCCACTACGCTGTCTTTGTAGTATATGTGCGCTGTAAGTTGGTATGGTAAACTGTCTTTCTTATGTTGAGGTCTGGTTGGTCACCTCTCTCTAGCTTTTCTTCAATAATCTTCGTTCATGTTTTGTACAAATTTCATATCAATAATAACTTGAGCTGAATCCTAAATTAGCTATAAGCTATGTGTTAGACACTTGCATCGTTTTTAGGTATTAATTTCAACTTCTATACCTAAAATTAATGAAATGCATTGCTAGTACTGCTGTGATACTGGCATTTTTTTACTACATCTACCAGTCATCAAGCATAGTATAAAAGTTTAAGTGAAATAAAATACAGAGTTAGTACAGATAGCAAGAAATTGACTTCTTTTGTTATTACCATATATATTTATTTTTTGTTGTTTGTAGTGTTGAGCCGACAACCTATCCATTCATATGCTAATGCGAATTATCATTGTCTGGTAGGTAAAGTGGTGAATTGAGAGAGTTGTCCTTTCAAATGCAATAATAAATTATTCACTTTATTTAGCTTTACATTTTATGATCACGGTGATGACTCATCAAACTTGTTTGCCATTGAGATCTTTTTGTTAGGTTAATTACTATTGTATATCAACAAACATCCATAAATTTAGTAAATTCAGCTTTTGTTGGAGAACGAAAACAAACTAAAAATAGCAAAGAATTGGTGAATTGGGTTTTATGCTTTCTTTTGCTGTGTTTAAACTGTGAAACCTCTACTTGAGTGACAAATTATTTAGAGAAGGTTTTTTCTTGAGTGGAGTTTGAGTTATGAAACCATGGAATTGCATTCATTTAATTGATCATCTTGATGAAAGTTGTAGTTTGCTTGCCCAGATATAATTGATGGGTTGGTGAAGAGTGGGAAGGAGATTGAAGCTATTTATTTCGCGTTTGAGTCCGGGTTGACTGGTCGGTTTCCTCCGGTTGATCTGCTCAAATCGTACCTCAGGAACTGCAGGAAGAATGCTAACAACATATCAAAGAATGGAAAATACAGTTCGACTGCAGTGGTGCGTCAATCCCGAACTTTCCTTCTTGTTCTTTTTCTTTCTTGAATGCCATTGGCCTTTTGGATTTATAATGTTATGTTTGAACGTGCCTTCCAAGATAAGTCTGCATTGTTTCCTTCTGATATGTTTTTGACTATCCTTCCCCTCCACCCCTCCTCTCTCAGATTTGAAAAGAGGCTCATTTTGATTTATGCATAGGAACTTTTAGGGTATTGATACCTGATGTTACAATTTTGAAGGATGGACTTTTGCAATCTACAATTGGAAAACAGAATGGAACATTTTATATACATATGTTGTCGAAATGTCTCCAACCTTTTTATGCCTAGGATTACATGTACACCTGCACTGGTACTTCAAACAGTTACTGAATTCATGACTCTCTTTTATCTGTCTGGTTACTTGATCTGCCCACTGATTTTTCAGGAAGAGGCCAACAACTCAGAGTTGAATGCCATCAGAGGTATCATAAAATGTGTGGAAGACCACAAGCTTGAATCGCAGTTCACCTTAGAAAGCCTAAGAAAGCGGGTCACTCAGCTTGAGAAGGCCAAGGCAGAGAAGAAGAAGAGTGGGGGATCCACAAGCAAGCCTTCAAACAAACGGGCCCATGGAGGAGGCGGTGGCAGGGGCAATGGGGCACCCCCCTTCCGTCCGCCTAAAGCAGGGAGATTTTCAAATGCTTCTCCTTCTTTCCGCCACAGGAATCCCTCCCAGTCACATCCGGTCCCGGCTGCTAGATTTTCTGCACCCTACAACTATCCCAGCCAGAGTGTGTACGAGGGTCCTGGCACGACCTCATATGGAGGACCAGGGTATGGTGGGACTTACACACAAAGCCCTGTTGCACGTCCTCAACAATACTCGTACCCACCTCAGGATGTTGGAGCTGCTGGGGTCCAAGCAAGTGGATCATATGGAGGACAGGGTTCATACGGAGGACAGGTGAACTATAGTGCATACGATTATGGTGTTGCTGCTGCTCCTACTTATCCACCGTCATACCCACAAGTGTAAAATGTTAGTAGGGACGAGGACAAGGACGACAAATGTAGCGTGACTCAAGTTATTCTGTATGGGATTTAGGGCAGGAATCATAAAAGGCTCATTTCCATTGCTATAGAAAATGATTATTAGCACCAGCATTAGTTAGTGTATTTAACACCGGATTTTCTTTTCTTGCTAAGGATCTCTTGTTTTGTTATTCTAATGAAATGTTTAGCTGAATAACTCCTCTTGTGTTTTTACATGGACCTTGTTTTTGTGTTCTTCATATATTCTTTTTTGTAGCTTTATAATCCCTTGGATGACCAACCCAAAAACCTTATTGCAGAAATGCAGTAGTTAGTAGCACGGCTTTTGTTAGAGAACCACAAATTATAAAAAATCAGGAAAAAAATAGTATGCTTAATGGATAAGACTTGCCTATTCACCGGTGAGTAGGTTATTTCTATTGACGGTTGATGCGATCGAATCACAAATGAACAAATAATTCGCAAAGTGATAAATTAGAAAATCAGGGTGGGTAATTGGATTTATTCCAAAAAAAAATTATTATCCCTTTTTATCACTTTCCGATATTGTAAGTACAAATTATTTATGTATTTGTAATTGGATCATATCAACGGTAGGTAGGAATGACCTACTCACTGGTAAGTAGGCAAGTCTTGTCCATGCTTAATTGAAGTTGCTCCCTTCATTTTATCCCAAGAAAAATAATTTCATACTAATACCTATAATTTGGAGAAATATAAATAAATTTATTTTTAAATTTTTTGAGTGAGTATGTATGTATGTTAAAAAGTTTCACAAGCCAAATTGAGTCCACTTGTGAACATCCAAGCCGCCTTCGAACTCAATATCTTGAGATCATCACAAGAGTCACTGTAACCATTTTCTGTTGCCGTCAGCGACGGTCGGATATCATCGCCGGAGTACCTTAGCTGAGAATCTCAGCTGTGTTGACATTGGTGTACTATAATATAATGCAAGCCAAATACCATACAACAACTTGTAAGTTCTATTCGAGACCATTTGGATTGAATATTTCTATTTTTGTTAATGGAGGCGAAAATTGGTGTCTTGACAACCAGAGGATTGGAAGATATGTTTGCACCCTTGTTGCGAAATTGCATAAACATAGTGTTTTTGAAGAAAATACATGCTCAGATTGTCAAGTTCTCACTATCACAGAGCAGCTATTTGGTGACAAAAATGGTAGATGTATGTCATCACAATAGAGATATAGACTATGCAAGCTTGCTCTTTCAGCAGATGATAGAGCCAAACACTTTCCTGTACAATTCAATGATTAGAGCTTATACTCACAACCACATGTATGAATTAGCAATCAATGTGTATAAGCAAATGCTGAAACACCCACATGGTGAAGAGCACATCTTACCTAACAAATTCACATTCCCATTTGTGATTAGGTCCTGTGGAGGACTTTTATGTGTTAATCTGGGTAAGCAAATTCATGGGCATGTGTGTAAATTTGGGCTGAAGTCTAACACTTTAATTGAAAATTCATTGTTGGACGTGTATACAAAGGCCAATTGTTTGACTGATGCACATACACTGTTTGAGGAAATGACTGAAAAAGATGTGATTGCATGGAACAGTCTTATTACTGGGCATATTAAACTGGGGCAGATTAGAAGAGCAAGGGCTATTTTTGAGGAGATGCCGGATAAGACGATTGTTTCCTGGACAGCAATGATTTCTGGGTACAATCGAGTTGGGTGCTATGCCAGTGCCTTGGATATTTTTAGGAGAATGCAAATGTTGGGGGTTAAACCTGATTGGGTCAGCCTAATTGCTGTGTTGCCGGCATGTTCTCAGTTGGGAGCTCTTGAGCTAGGAAAATGGATACACTTCTATGCTGATAAAAATGGGTTCTTGCAGAAGACTTGTATATCTAATGCTCTTATTGAAATGTATATGAAATGCGGGAGCATAAACCAAGCTTTGCAGTTGTTTGATCAAATGTCAGAAAGAGATGTGATTTCCTGGACTACAATGATTGGAGGGTTAGCAAATCATGGGAAAGCCCGTGAAGCAATTGAACTATTTCAAGAAATGCGGAGGGCAGAGATGGAACCCAATGAGATCACCTTTGTTGGTCTTTTATCAGCTTGTGCACATGCCGGTTTTTTGGATGAGGGATTACGATACTTTGATTCCATGAAACATAATTATAACATAGAACCAGGAATAGAGCATTATGGCTGTTTGGTTGATCTTCTTGGGCGTACCGGCTGCCTTGACCGGGCTCTTGAACTCATATACAAAATGCCAATGAAGCCGGATTCAGCTATTTGGGGTTCTTTATTAAGTTCTTGCAAAACTCATCGCAACCTTGAGATTGGCATTACTGCAATGGAGTACCTTCTAGAGCTTGAGCCAGATGACACTGGAAACTATGTTTTACTTTCAAATATCTATGCAGACCTTGGGAAGTGGGATGGTGTGTCAAGGATGAGGAAACTTATAAGAAGTAAGTGCATGAAGAAAACACCAGGATGTAGTCTGATTGAGGTCAACAATGTGGTCCAAGAATTTATATCAGGTGATGATTCTAAACCGTTTTCACAAGATATCTACTGGATGCTAGAGCTGCTGGCTTTGCACCATAGCAGAACCCACAATTTGATTGAAACTGTACCTGAAGACAGGAGTCAATATCTGTGTTAAAATAAAGACCATCTCTGATGAGAAATGTATATATAATGGGTTGGTTCCATCTGTACCTGAGAATTACAGCAGGCAAGATCATGTTTTCTGGAGGAATGCTATAACCTATTGAGAAGGAAAGAGGGGGAATGGATTACCTAAGGGGGGATGACATTCAGAAGTTCAAAAGAGTGGCTTTGATTTTGGATGACCGTACAAAACTCATAGCCATGATCTTGCTCTAACTTGAACAAGATGTTTGAAATCATAGGCTCTCTGGAGCCATGCACAATGAAGACTTTCAAAATGACTTTTGGACGAGAAAACATCAAGAGTTGCCTCATTCAGTGAAGGTTTTATCTCTGGTGAGCATGTGTGAAGCTTATAGCTCAGATTTTTGTGAATTAATATTTGAAACTGATATTTTAATTGTCTGCCATGCTACTCAATTTTTATTCACAACATTCTGATGTTATGCCCACATTTAGTCTGCCTTTCTTTGTTACCATGTTTTATTTGGCTTGGCTTCTGATCATTTTCTGATTTTGCTTGAACTCAAAAAAAAAAGCAAGAAAGTAGTCTCCATTTGATTGATGACACAGCCCATTAGACAAACCAATGTGAAAATTTATGTAGAGAAATAAGAAATTATAAGCCTTTCAAAGTGTTCTACCAAATTTGATCCTGCATATTTCTAAATTTTCAGTTAAATTTCCTTATTCCATGATGCAGATCTTACATATGTTCTGCAGGAAAGTCCATCCTAAAAGTTCAACAGGTATTCAAAATTATGATGTGTCCCACAAAGAGATCATGAACAACTTCAACTATGAAGAGGGGTGTGCCAATGGAGATCAATTTTCTCTAGATGAAACTATCACAATAATTCCTGAGAGAGCCATCTCAAAAGTGAGCATACAATGCTTCAAGAGCAGGTCTAACCCACCCTAAGTCACACTCAGTGGGAGCGAATCAAATGGAAACAGGGAATGCTTGATCAATAAAGATGCAGACTGTAAGTACATAAATATGCACCATGCCCAGAATCCATTATAGAATGTTCATTGGATGTTCCATGACTTTTATGATAATTATAATTGAATGTGCAGAACCTACAGTGTGGTCCACATAGAGGTTGGCATTTGCAAAAATTGGAAGAATTGATTAGAGATTAAGGGGATGGTGGTCAAGCAAGATCAGTTTAAAAGTGGCAGAGAGGTTTGGCCATGGTCTCCGTCGAGGTCTTGGTTCGATGCTATTGTGTGGAAGACAGGTTCTTGTACTTTTAAATCTGTTTGGAATGAATGTCAATTGAGAAGGGGAAAGTGTAGCTGTGTTAGGATGCTGATTTTTAGAAGCTAGAGATGTGGTATGGGAAGCCTTGCTTTCACTCAACCTCAGTTTGGGGACCTTCCAGCTGTGTTAGGATGCTGATTTATTTTTATTTTTATTTATTATTATTATTATTATTTTGGTACTTTATTGTTTTTTATAATATAAAAACCCCATTCCGGAAAACATAAATATAAAAAGAAAAAATCAGAATAATGCCATCCTTTCTACAATTCTGCATATCCCAGCATTATTCATCTGGTAATATGACACATTTACATTAAGAAATAGACCTTTAAGGCCTCCAAAATTCTGCATGACAAGCTTCATCAAACTCCAAAAAAAGGAGTTGGAGCCCACAAATGTTTCCATCTCTTTAGTTCCCTCCAATACTTCAATTTTTGTGTTCGGGAATTCTCCGTTTCTCCATTTATTGTTTATTTGGCATGGGTTATATATATATATATATATATATATATATATATAGGAAGATATTTTTGGAACATTAAGGGACATAAAGTGTTGAGAGAGGGCAAAAGAGTAACCTAACCTAAAGTTAGAATCTCTCTCTATAACATTCTTTTTCTCTTTATAATACTTCCATACTTCAATCCTATATTTGTGAGCTTTAGAGTAAGATTTAGAAGAAGCAAGAATGAGAAGTTGGAGTGCTCGACAAGGGCTTTGTGACTTCACAATAAACTCCTTATTAAGGCCATTCAACTTATTAGTAATGTCCGTGAATTTAGCAAACAGATTTATTGGATTTTTTTTTTTTGGGTAAGTGGGTGGATCAATTGGATTCATGCTAAACAATTAATATTTATGTACAATCATGCTAATTTTAGATTGTTTGACTTGATTGGTGTCTTCGTAACTCAACTCAATTTTTTCCCAGTTTACTTTGACGAATTTTCCATTAACCAACCGAGACTATTAAATTCATTGAAATCCAATATTTGATTTCAAATAATTGGTATGCCATTCCAATTCTTCCACTGGGACCATATACAATTACTATCCAAACATCATAGTCCAAGGCTTGGAGGAAGTTCCCTATTAGTCTAATATTTGTAAATGCACCTTTAAACAAATAGAGGTCTATGGTTAGAATGGCCTTGCCTAATAATATTTCGTTAAAGATAAATATGTACAAGGGTGAATTCACCGCCCCACAGTTAAAGATTGAATAGTCAAGTTGTAAGGTCAATCTAGGAGGAATGTGAATGAGAATATATATACCTCTTAGTAGAAAAAAATACATTCAATAATTATATTCATTGATGTACGAGCTCGCTTACGCTATTGCTTTTGGTGTCATAAACTACTCTTTCATCCCTTTATACTATAATAGTACAGGTGGTTGTAAGATTATCATAAATTCCCCCTTTTTTTTGTCATTTTTTTTTTTTTTTTGGTGTGTGTGTTCTTTGATAAAAAAATTCACACATTCATGTCTTTATGAAAACTTGAAAATATATAAAATAGAATATATACAGATAAATATATTAAATAATTATATTGATTGACTTGTTGAATATTATTTATTATTAAAATAAATATTAATGAATTGTAATTATATTTATCTCTTTTATCCCGTGTCAATTTTATGTTTATTGATCATTTTAGAATTTTTGTTAATTATGTTTTATAGAATAATTTTCTAATTTATTATTGTTAAGATTTTGTAAATTGTTATCATTATTTAATCTTGTAATTTATTTATTTAATTAATATATCAGTGATTATTTTAATAAATTAATTTTAGTTACTATTTGAAATAATTAAATATTAATTTTAAATTAAATTTTACTAACGTGAAACGTACTGGGTGAGCAGGGAGTAGTATACTCATTTTTAATCCTGACCTTAGAATATAATCTTACATAATTAATTAATCAGTTTTTTCTTTTTATATTTTAGGAAACTTACTTCTTTTTTTATTTTTTATTATTATCATTATATATTATTAACAGGAAATATGGCAATACTAACATGTTTTTAATGGAAATAAACTAAAACCAAATTGGTTAGGATTTTCTTTTATACGCATACAAAAATTCATTCCTTTTCGTTCAGCTTCAACAATAGAAGGCTTCAACCATAGAAGGTTGAAACATGGAAGGAAATTTCCTTCCATACTTCATCGATTCTAATAATAAATAAATTAAAGAGAAATAAGTAAGTCTTGTTTTTTTAATTTCCACCCATACTACATCCATTTCTACCCATACTACATCCATTTCTAATGGTAAAGTATGTAATAAAAATTATGGAATGTGGGAGGAATTTATCATTAGAATGGGATGAAGTATGGGAGGAAATTAAAAAAACAAGACTTACTTATTTCTCTTTAATTAATTTTATTCATCTTTGTTGCGAAGAAAATTACCGCGGTGAACTTTTGGGAATTTTTTTATTGGCTTGGAAGTAAGGAAGGAATTCCCTGACTCAACGGATGGGAAGAAATTTTTGTATGCCTATAGAAGAAAGTCCTAACCAATTTTATTTTAGTTTATTTATATTAAAAGTATGTTTAGTTTTGTCATTTCATGTTAATAATATATAATATATAATAATAGTAATAAAAAAGAGACACGTTTCCTAAAATACAAAAAGAAAAAATTGATTAATTAATTAACACAGTAAATTTTAATGTTAAGATTAAAAATGAGTATGCTACTCCTTTAACGCGACTGTAGTTTGTTTTTTTTTATATATATATATATATATATATATATATGTGTGTGTGTGTGTGTGTGTGTATATAGCCCTTTTTGATGGATTTGATGTCGAGGAACTAGATCGGAGGGTTATAAAACGACCACGCCATCAAATGATTCCAATAGCGTGGTCTGTTCAGTTTTGTGTATTTCATAATCATCTCTCTCGTCCTCTCCATCAACAGTCACAGAGGTACTTTCAGTGTAGCGATTGCTCTAATTTCGCGCTTTATATTTATAATTTTCATATTCTGAGTTAATAATTTCTATGAATCAGGAAGTAGAACAACAACAACTTGTTGGGGCAATTGGAATAGTACTCCTAATAACTTGTAAGTAGTACTTGTAGTGGCTGCTGAACTTCAATTTTGTATGTCACGTCTGCTTTTTTATTCTCAGGATAGTTACCATTATAACTTGTTGTGTGAAGATGGAAGAAAAAGCATACGAGTCTTTACCCTATGATCTCATAGTTGACATACTTTCACGACTACCCGTCAAGTCTCTTGTTCGATTTAAGTCTGTATCCAAGTGTTGGCTCAATTTATTCACTGATCCATACTTTGTTAAGATGCACCTCAATCGATCCCACAAGCGCAAAAAGCTTGTTTCTTGGTGCACTTGTTCTCCAATTTTTTTTACAAACATTCCCCTTATATGTTCCCTTGACAATGACCAGCCAAAAGCAGTTCACATTGAATCTCTACTTCCTTTTCGAACTGAATCGATCAGGTTCTATGGTTCTTGTGATGGCTTGATTTTGTTCTTAAATTTTCCTTCCCGTAGACTTTGCCTGTTGAATCCCTCAACCAGAGAGCTCAACAAATTACCAAACTCACCATTCCAAAACAGACTAACAGTTTCGTATGGATTTGGCTATGATGCGTCGGCTGATGACTACAAGGTTGTGGAGGTCTCGTTCACAGGTTTTCAAAGCAATGCGAGTGTGTATGCACTAAAAACAAATTGTTGGAGAAAGGTTCACAGCTTCCCTTACGGTATCAGGATCTATAACGGGGGTACACTTTTCAATGGTGTTCTCCATTGGTTGGCCTGTGGCAAAATGCCTAGGATAGTTGCTTTTCATTTAGCTGATGATAAATTTCAAGACATTCCCTTTCCTTGTTTTGAAACACCAAGACCTTCACCTCGTGTCATTGGAGTTGTCAGAGGTAGTCTTTGTATCAAGGTAACATCAGATGAACTTTGGGTGATGAACGAATACGGCAAGAGAGAGTCTTGGATCAAAGTTAACTTCCGACAAAAAGAGACTGCTGCAACTTTTCGACCGTCGACGAAGCCTCTGATGGTTCAAAACTACAATTTAGAAAAAAATACATATAGCTATATACAGATTCCGTGTACTCATGATTGTCATGGGAAGCTAACTGATCATCATGAAGCAGAGAATTGTTTGGAAAGCATTGTTTCACCCAGTCATGTCATCACACATGATTAATTTAACTTACAGTATATACCAATAATACCTGATTCTCACAAAGTGCAGTGTCTCAAGTTTAAATTATGATTATGCAGTCATTCTTTTATCTTCTGTTGCATTGTCTAGTGGCGTCTTTTGTTAGGAATGTTTGGGGTTTCGTGGGTTATGCCTCGACCCTTGGAGAGGGTGCTATGTGGAAGGTCATGCTTGTGGGTTTTGGAGGATGGCACCATTGTTGTGTTTATGGTTGTATATATCCCGATTTATAATCTTGACCCTCATTCACATAAACATATTAATAAAACAGTTTTCTAGTTCTTGTAAAAATATTATGTTATTTCATGCTATCGGTAGATTTTAAAATTTAGATTGCAATCTAAAGCAGGCAATCGAGAATAATTTTATTTAGGATTGTTTGCATTTGGTCCCACCACTTCAAAGGAAAGCTAAGCCATCAGATCCTTGTTTGAATCAACGTGGAAGGGGCTAGACCGTCAACATGGATGTACAACTCTTCCAATCAAGGTGTCTCGATTCAATGAAAAGAGTTTTAGTAGAGCCAAAGAGGCATGTCAAATCTGCATGTGTTTCGTGACTTGCTAGAACATGCAAAGTAATCAGAGCAATTAAATTCCCTAATAAAAGGAATGTCCCAAGCTGTCACATTAGTAAAGTTCATTTTTGTTGAGGTTGGAGATCCCATTGATGCCAACTCCATTCCATTTTTTTTTTGAAAAAAAACACTCTTGTTAACTTCGGCCTTGCTCGAGCTTACCCTATAAATATAAGGGATTATTACATATAAATGAACTTAGTGGCCACTATTTACCCATACATTGAGTCAAAGTCAATAATTTCTCTAAAATGTGTTTGACCCAAAAGCTGAGGTGGCACATGAAAAAATACTGTTTCATATTTCTGTTACCTAAAATACCCTTCTTCCTATTTTATGTGTTGCCTAAAATGCCCTTTTGCGAAGGTACCACTTTTTTCACCACATTTTTGGACCGAAGATATCACTTTTTGGCGTCCAGGTACCATGTTTTCTAAACACTCGTTTAGCTAGATTGGAGAATATTTTGTGTTATTCATGGCGTTAATGGAGTTGTTTATGGATGTAATGTGCAACCTAATAAGCGGTGTGGGATTTAATACCATTTTCAATTGTAACAATAAGTCCATTTTTTTGGCGTCGAGATACCATGTTTTTTAAACACTCTAACTAGTTTGAAGAATATTTTGTGTTATTCATAACCCTAATGGAGCTATTTATTGATTCACTGTGCAACCTAATTAGCGGTGTAGGGTGTAATACCATTTTCGATTACAAAAATAAGTCCCTTTTGCGAAGGTACCACTTTTTTTCCAAAGGTACCACGTTTTTGGACTAAAGGTACCACTTTTTGGCGTCCAGGTACTATGTTTTCTAAACACTCGCTTAGCTAGATTGGAGAATATTTTGTATTATTCATGGCATTAATGGAGCTGTTTATGGATGTAATATGCAACCTCATTAGCGGTGTGGGGTTTAATACCATTTTCAATTGCAAAAATAAGTCCCTTTTTTTAGCGTCGAAGTACCATGTTTTCTAAACACTCTAGCTAGCTTGGAAAATATTTTGTGTTATTCATGGCCCTAATGGAGCTATTTATTGATTCAATGTACAACCTAATTAGCGGTGTGTGGTGTAATATCATTTTCAATTGCAAAAATAAGTCCCTTTTGAGAAGGTACCACTTTTTTTCCAAAGGTATCACGTTTTTGAACTGAAGGTACCACTTTTTGGCGTCTAGGTACCATATTTTCTAAACACTCGCTTAGCTAGATTGGAGAATATTTTGTATTATTCATTGCGTTAATAGAGCTATTTATGGATGTAATGTGCAACCTAATTAGCGGTATGTGGTTTAATACCATTTTTAATTACAAAAATAAGTCTCTTTTTTTGGCGTCGAGGTACCATGTTTTCTAAGCACTCTAGCTAGCTTTGAGAATATTTTGTGTTATTCATGGCCCTAATGGAGCTATTTATTGATCCAATGTGCAACTTAATTAGCTAACAAGCTACCATTCACCTCAAGGAACCTCACTATTTCCATCTTAATCCATCAAAGCTTATAAGATGTAATTTCCTCACTTTTGATATAATTTTTGCTGTAGAATAATTTCTTAGTATAACTTAGTTGTTAGTACTATAGCTCAATGTTCATTTGCACTTTTCTATGTTATATATTCTGCACGGTTAGTGAAAATTTTCCAAAGGCCATTTGTTGGTAGGAATCAGTGATTTTTTTTATTATTATTTTTTGAAGTTGTCTTTTGTCTCGTAATATCAAATATATATATATATACATATATATATATCTGGTACAAATCTGTGAATTCTTTCATAGTTGTATTAATTGGGCAAATTTTTTTTTTTTTTTCGTGTCAACCATGATAGTGCTGTCTTTTTTGGGCGAATTATAAATTCTTTTTTAATTTTGATGATTCTTTTTAAAATTATTATTATTCAAAGTTTCGAATTGTCTATTTTTATATTCCTTTTGTTCCTTATTATTATTATACAATACCTTAATACCTTAATTTTTATTGCATGTGACAGTCACAGAGACAAAGTGGTTCTTTTGTTCCAACTACACACAGAGACACAGAGAATGCATGTCCATCAAATACACAAACAAGATGACTCTCACTAGAACCACACAAAGGAAAAGGGCCACAAAATGGTTTACCGCATAACAAGGAAATACATACCTATATTTATCCAATTGGGAGCTAGAGGAAGTGGGATAGGAGGATCTCATAATCCAAAAAGTACTTGAAATGATGTGGGATATAGGACATTTGTAATGTTGAATAGTGTCATTTTTTTTTGTTGCTATTTTGCAATATGTTGGTGTGAGCTATTTTTCTACTTTTAAAGGAGAATAGCTTTGCAACTTTTTATTGTAGATTAGGTTGGTATGTTTTTGTAACCATTGTATGGCGTATTATACTGACATCTACCTTAGATGAAATGAAATGAAGTTCTCTTTTGCATTGGGTTTTTATGAATTAGTATTGTATGGCTTATTATACTAGAGCCTCACTGAATTTTCTTCGAGTATTACACGAATGTAGTATCAAAAATATTTCATTCCAAAATTGAAGCAGTTAAATGAATAAGGATATTTTTGTAACTCTGCAATGGTCAATAAAGTTAAAAATGTCATTTCAGCCATTGTAAAGGGAAAAATTGACATTCTACCCATTTATCCATCATGACATCAGCACTAAACGTCTGTTACTTAAAGGAAGGGGGTAAGTTGATACGTATGGTATTACACCCTACACCGCTAATTAGGTTACACAGTGGATCAATTAATAGCTCCATTAGGGTCATGAATAACAAAAAATATTCTCAAAGCTAGCTAGAGTGTTTAGAAAACATGGTACCTCGACGCCAAAAAAAGGGACTTATTTTTCCAATTGAACATGGTATTAAACCCCACACCGCTAATGAGGTTGCACATTACATCCATAAACAGCTCCATTAATGCCATGAATAACACAAAATATTCTTCAATCTAGCCAAACGAGTGTTTAGAAAACATGGTACCTGGACGCCAAAAAGTGGTACCTTCAGTCCAAAAACGTGGTACCTTTGGAAAAAAAGTGGTACCTTCGCAAAAAGGGACTTATTTTTGCAATTGAAAATGGTATTACACCCTACACCGCTAATTAGGTTGCACAGTGGATCAATAAATAGCTCCATTAGGGCCATAAATAAGACAAAATATATTCTCCAAGCTAGCTAGAGTGTTTAGAAAATATGGTACCTCGACTGCAAAAAAAGGGACTTATTTTTGCAATTGAAAATGGTATTAAATCCTAAACCGCTAATTAGGTTGCACATTACATCCATAAACAGCTCCATTAACGCCATGAATAACACAAAATATTCTCCAATCTAGCTAAATGAGTGTTTAGAAAACATGGTACCTGGACTCCAAAAAGTGGTACCTTCAGTCCAAAAATGTGGTACCTTTGGAAAAAAAGTGGTACCTTCGCAAAAGGGGATTTTAGGCAACACATAAAATAGGAAGAAGGGTATTTTAGGCAACAGATTTATGAAGTAGTATTTTTTCATGTGCCACCTCAGCTTTTTGGTCAAACACATTTTAGAGAAATTATTGACTTTGACTCAATGTATGGATAAATACGGGCCACTAAGTCCATTTATATGTAATAATTCCTAAATATAACTAGTCTATTGGGAGAGTTAAGAAGAGTTAACAAAAAAATTCTCGTAATTGCATGATGAATGTGAGATACAGAAATGTATGAGTATAGAGTGTTCTAAGAGACTTGACACGACCATTGTCCACCAAAAAAAAAAAATCTCTTAACATAGAAGTCTTCAAGAAAGATATTTCCACATTTTCCGAAATGTCCATATGATTATTTTTTTTAATAAGTTAAAGGCACTTCTGTTAAAAGGACATTTCAGTGAATATGGGGTGGACTGAGCTGGACATTTCAGAATCCCAAGATCTGAGAAGATGAATCCACACAATTCAATATGCATGCCCAAATCCACGAAAGAATACCACTACTAATATCAATTCTTAGAACACCATCAGTATATACACACATCAAATTCTGATTCTCTATATCAAAACATACATCTTTACACACCCCACACGCACACATATATATCAATAATCATTGTTCATTCCTTTATTTCTCACATGTTCGTCAATTCATCCTGTAGTCCAAGATGCAAAATCCGACTGCTAATATGTGTGTGTGTGTGAGAAACATATTGACTGGTATGCAGAGTGATGAGTAAACTTCAATGACCATACTCTAAGCTTTAAACAAAAGCTCCTCGATTTAGTAGGATTTATAATTTTCTTATATTGAAAACACCAGGGCTATGTTAGAAGGACAGAGAATCCGTAGAGCCGACTACAAATCAAACACAATTAATTCATACATGAGCTACTCCCAGAAAAGCCCTGAGCTTGGAAGA